CTGAACCACAGTTTACCTTGAAAACGGTTATCGTGCCAGATCTACTTATGAATTTCATAAATTGTCAGTTTTTATTAGATGGACTTTCAGTGAAGGGATCTGTCAAATTTATTTTCAATTCAAAGATGAATGGAAATGTTGGTTTGAATGACATGAGGGTGAGTAAACGATTGCCACATTTTAATTTTTAAGTTAAATGACTCTTTACACAAACACTTCTGTCTACATTAAATAAAGGAACAAACCTCTTCACACTCAGAGCTCTATGTCACAACACACCACACAACATCATTTGAGAGAAGTACATTTAAATAAATGGCAAAAAATATATATATATATTTATTTATTTCACAATGTGGGTGAGATTACCATTTTTGGTGACATTTTTTGACATTTTGTTATGACAGAAACTGGTGGAGATTTCCGAGTGGTTCTGGGCTTACGTGAAGACAGGTAGAGGTAGCTAGTTTACTATCACTACGATTCACGTGACAGCACAGAACTTCTTAAATGACTACATGTGTCTCACAGAAGTGAAAACATACGTAATGAGTCAACTGTGCTGCAAATATGACTAAACTTATTGTTTCAAGAGCTTATTCCAAATGATAGAAACTCCACATTTGCTTAATGAAAGAAAAACGATGAGCAACATATTCGAGAAAAACAGGCCGCATCACCTGACATCTAGTATTTACTTCCAAGACAACAAACTGACACAAATAATTATCTATTTAAAAGAACAGTTCATCCAAATTGAAGAAATTCCTTCGTTGTTCAAGTTGCTTCAATGTCATATGATGTTTTTTATCTCGGTGGAATACAAAAGGAGATGTTAAACGTCATGACAGCGTCGGTCACAGTTCAGTTTTAGTATATGAACTAAGATATAATGACAGCGAACGGTGGTTTAAGTATATCAAAATATATTATGGCCAAAAAAACAACAAAGACACACAGGCTTGAAAAAACATTCGGGAATACAGGCCGTTTCCCATTTCCGCCTGCTCCGTTAAACTCATCCAGCGACAGTGTCAGCTAACTTCAGCTAGCCGCTTCAAGGTGTGGTCGGATCTCTGGAAAACTGTGTTTTTTATGCTAACCAACATCTATATTAACCCAATGCACAGTAACTAAATAATATTATACATATAACGATACAGACTCAAATACGCTACTCCAGCCGAAGAGCAGGAGTTTGTTTGGGCTGCTCGAAGTGAGCTAGCCGGTTAGCTGGCCTTTACTGTTTAATATAAAACCACACTAACTAACAATAACCACGATGATCGGAGACGCTTTAACTTGTACAGTCGCGACAAAAGTATTACGTACTTACCTTTAAACAAGTAGTCGTATTCGTCGTCTCGTGTCCCCATCTCGATCAAAACAAAAGCGCAAACAATGGAAGAATGTGAAGGAAAGTGGAGGCGACCCGTCGCTGTCCTCTCCGCTGCGGCACTGCAGTCTGTCTGTGATTAGGCAGTAGCCATGCTAACGGCTTAGCGAGCAGGCGAACCAGAGAACATCTCCTCAAGTGTTCCGGGTGAGGGCCCTTACAGACTGTCAAAATAAAAGCAGGATTATTTATTATTTTTATTCATTGTGTATTATTTCTGTTCACCAAGGGCATTTTATATAATGAAGTATAAGACATATGTTTTTGTAAGGAACCACCGTCTCAATTGAGCCAATTTATTATGGAGCCAGATCAGTCTCAAAAATAATACATTTACAAAATATGATTCATATATTCACAAAACAATACACATTTACAAAATCCAATTTGTATGTTCTAAACACAATTCGTAAATACATAAATCCAATTCATAAAATTAAAAACACAGTTCATAAATAGAAATCAAATTCACAAATTCAAAACACAATTTATAAATGCACAAATTCAATTATTAAATTCAAAACATGATTCATAAATGCACAAATCCAGCTCGTAAGTTCAAAACATGATTCATAAATACACAAATCCAGTTAGTAAGTTCAAAACATGATTAATAATTGCACAAATCCAATTTGTAAGTTCAACACACAATTCATAAATACACAAATCGATTCCTAAGTTCAAAACACGATTCATATATACACAAATCCAATTCATTTGGCGAAAATATTAGGATGTTTACTTGTAAAATCACAAATTGTGTGTAAATCCAAATTGGATTTTGTAAATGTGAATTGTGCTATGCATGTATGAATCCTATTTTGTAAATGTATTTTTAGACTGATCTGACTCCATAATTTATACTATAAAGAGAGAAAAATATTTGGTTTCATTTAAGTTACATTGTAACACGCTTATTTGCTTATTTGCTTATTTGCCGTATTTTATTTATTTATTTTTTTCACTTGTATCTATTTTGTAATAAATTCATTCCACGTGAAAAAGTACTATATTAATATATAATAAAAACTACGTTGTTCCATAGTCTTTTATAGTAAAGTATATTCAACAGTATATATTATAATATTTACAACACTTAGATAGGGAATGCTTCAGTAAGCTGTAATGTTAATTGTCATCTGATAAACTGTCATAAATACTTTAATATAATTTTTTTTTAATACAGCAAACTGTGGTGGTGTATTGTAGTATAATGTAACATATCGTTGTGGAAAACTACAGTATTTGTGTCGTTTGCTTATATTAGCATATTTTTCGTGTTACAAGAGCAACTATAGAGTAACCAAAACCGATTGTAATTCAAGTATTTTACTGCAGTACAATACTACAGCATTTACTATAAATTTTACAGTTTTTTATTGTGCCTTATTTTTTCTTATTTACTCATATTTTTAGGTGAATAACTTAATAATTGTTATCATTTTAATTGTACAATATACAGCTCATGTTTTGGATGTTAATGGCCGCTTTTACATATACAATCTTTTTCTGGTACTGGTAAATTGCAGTAAAGAGATCATGTGTGAACAGGCCCTTTTAAAATGCCAGAAATTGTGTTCCTTTTTTTTTTTTTTTTTTGCAATGAGAAGTTGTAACATGACCAGGAAATAGCAGGAATTCTGCTGTGTGTGTGAAAGCAGGAGGAAAATTGTTGGTATGAGCCACATACAAGTTCAGTGGTACATTCACTCCACAATGCTGACGGAAATAAACGCCTTTGCCCAGACATAATTATTTGCTGCTTATTAATCAGACAATGCTCATGTTCCTTCCTACTGTAGAAAACAATGTCACAGATAGTAACGATATTGAGAATCGATATGTTAAAGGGGAAAGGAAAACTATGAATTGTTGATGTGAATTTGAGTAAATGATGAAGAAATTTTTGTGTGAACTATCCCTTTAAAAGGGACCACCATTCTAAAATAGCTATACTATGCTCAGAGATAAGCAGCATGGTGGCACAGTGGGTTGAACGATCGCCTCGAAGCAAGAAGGTCACAGGTTTGAGCCCTGGCTGGGTCAGTTGGCACTTCTTAATGGAGTTTGCAAATTCTCCCTGTGTTTGTGTGGCTTTCCTCTGAGTGCTCTGGTTTTCCCCACAGTCTAAAGACATGCGCCCTAGGTGAACTGAATAAGTATATTGGCCATATGTGTGTGAATACAAAAGTGTGTGGGTGTTTCCCAGTGTTGGGTTTTGGCTGGAAGGGCATACACTGCATAAAACATAAGCTGGATAAGTTGGCAGTACATTCCACTGTGGCGACCCCTGATTAATAAAAGGACTAAGCTGAAAAGATAATGAGTGAATAATATAATAATTTATTTCTTAAATAGCTTATTATTATTACACATTTTCTGCGTTTTTGTATTTAATTGCAAATTTATTTACATGTATTGCCAATTTGTATGTATTGTTCTCTTATAATCTTTTTATTGTTTATTCATTTTAATCAGTTTTTGGTAATTTATTTATTTGACTTAATCAGAATTTATATGTATTTATTATTATATTTATATTGTAATTTATATTTAGATTGTAATATTATTTTATTGCATTTCATTATTAGATTATTAGATTGTAATTTCATTTCAGTGCATATTTATCTTTTTATATTAGATCAATCTTTTTTCTTTTAATCTTTGCAGTGTTTTTAAACAAAAATGTAATTAAGTTGTATAAATACTTGAATGTACTACCTAAATTATGGGATTGTTAGTTTAATTTATACCAATGCTTTTTTTTGTTTACATCTATGTTTACATCTTTTTAATGATTTTCTCCAAACACTGCCAGCTGTCAAGCTAACATTACTTATTTCACCCATGATCTTTAACGTTAAAACTACAACTGCATGTTTGTGTGATGTTGCTGATGTTGTGATGATGTTCTGTAGAGCAGTGGTTCTCAAAGTGGGGGTCAGGACCCCCCGAGGGGTCGTGGGACAATGAAGGGGGGTCGCCTGGTGATTTCCAAAGATCTATTTATTTTTATTAAACCATAAGAATTACCATATTTTATCCATAACCTACTGAAAAGAAAAAAATCATAAAGTCATTTATAGTCACTACCCACATAGCAAAATATATCTGGCCCAGCTCTGGCCCACACAATCAGCTTTCACTTGGCCCACATGCCGCAGTGAATTACGGTACATGACTGGGCCAAGTCTGGCTTCCAGGCAAGGGCCAAACACGGACCATATCTGGGCCAGGTCTTAGCCAAGTTAGTAACCCATAACTGGGCCTGAACTGGGCCAGTTATGGCACATGAATGGTCATTGTCTGGAAGCCAGACTTGGTCCAGTCATGTACCGTAATTCACTGCGGCATGTGGGCCAAGCAAAAGGCTGATTGTGTGGGCCAGAGCTGGGCCAGAGAAATTTTGCTATGTGGGCCATAACTGGCCCTCAACCGGACCAGATCAAGATAATATTTGGAACCAAAACTGAGCCATAATTAAACCATGTTAAGACCAGTCTTTAACCAGATAGCCCAAAAGTGAGCCACACCTAAGCCTAATCCACATGAACTAAAACTGCGGCCAAACTAAACCCTTCCCAGATCAAATCACAACAATGACTGTACTGAACAATATTTATTTTTTCACATTTAAGAAAACATGACAAAACAAGAAAAATCAGCATACTGTAAATCTACTGTAAAACATCAGAACACACAGCATTTTGCTCTTTTAAGTTGCAAATCCCATATGAGCAAGTTCTTTAACAAGTTTTCTCCTGATTCTCCTTTCGCTTCTGTCTCTCTTTCCTGCCACCATCCCTATCCGGGGCCAGATATAGCCATCTTTTGATGGTTGAGTCAATGTCTTTTTCTGAGGCTTCAGATGTCAGGCGGTTTCGTCTCACAGCCGCTGAAACAGATATGTAAATGTTTGAAATTAGCTTTTTTATCAACAGCTAATGTGGATATTGGATTTTAAAAAACAATTACATTAAAACTAAACCAGAACAAATTGACAGACATGCTTTTACAGCTATACAGACTTTTAATTGAAGCAAATAATTTTAGTAATATGGCTCCAGGAGGAATTCAGTCTAAGTTCCTTTTCAAAAAGCTGTGTGCAATTTAATAATTGGATATATTTTGGCAGTGTTCTTTTAAATCTCTGTTTTAGTAAAATGCTATAATTGGTTCAACACTCTTTGTTTACCAGCAAATAAGGACAGTAAGGCTGCATTTACACTGCAGATCTTGATGGTCAATTTTGATTTTGTGACTGTCTGATTTTTTTGCTGACTTATTTACATCGTTTTTTTTTTAAAGTGACTCATATCTGATTGTCTGCATTTACACAGCACACGGCAAAGATGCAATGACCAGGAAAAAAAAAAAGAGCAGGCGGTGATTGACAGCTGATAATAAAAGAGCACCCTTTTCTCTATGCCTGTATTTAATGTGTTTACGGGGTTTCATTTTTTTATATTCTTTTTGACAAGTTACTATAGTTTATAACAGAAAAGTTCTCATTTGTCCATCTTCTTTTAATTTAGGCCTTTTTGAAGCAGTAGGCGTCTTAATGTAATGTCCATGGGAAAATTTATGCACGTGATGTATGCTCAAGGTTTGAGATTCTGCTGAAGTCTGTTCCAAAATGAAAGCATCTAACCTGATGTCATTCGCTGTTTTTTAATGATAAGCGACTCGCATTGACAGGTGAAAATCCAATCTACCTGACACGAGGGCACGGATCAGATTCATATCAGAAAAACTTCCACATATGAACAAGGCCTGAATCTGATTTGAGTAAAATGTAATTTTATTTTTCATGTAATTTTTTCCTGTTTACACGCCACATAGGAGAAAAAAAACCGGAATCGAGTCACTTGAACTATGCAGTATAAATGCTGCCTATGGATCATGTGAATTATAGTGATATGTGTCTACAATTTATATTTAAACTGGTCAAAGCATGTATATACCATATAAGAACGCCCTGGGTTTAGTTTTAATGGAGCCATCAATTACAGTCAGAGTGTGATTAGAGAGCTTTTTAAAGAATATTCACTTTGTATTTTCGTTGGTGTGTTTAAAAACTTTATTGGTTAGCTCAGTTTAAACATGGACATTTTTGTTATTTTGGCCTACTACATGTGAAAATATTGGGAAAAAAAAATTCTGTGACTTTATAATGCTACTGTACATTAAAATTGTACAATAAAGATCCAGTTGTTGACATTAATTTAACTAAATTCACAATTAAAGCAACAAAAGCTTTTATGCAGCTCATTTCAATATCCTGACAGTACTATATGCTGTGGCAAAACTGTCAGTAATTAATCGCAAATCTCGTATCTACTGAAGGGTTAGTATTAGGGTTTGGTTCAGAGTAACTGTGTATAACCTTTGTTAATTTTTTATTTTAATTACAATAAGTGCATGTAAAATAAATAACTTTTTTTCTCTTCTCTTTCCTGCTCATCACTGTACCTCTAATGTACTCCTCTTGGAACCTCAGTTAATCAAATTAATACAATTTGATTATTGTTAAAGACTTTAACCCCTTTTGTGGCATAAAGTTCAACTTACCAATAACAACATTTCGTAAATGTAAGCTCTGGAATCCAATCTTTCCATTGATTCCCCGCATGTTGATTTTTCTGGCTAAAGAGTTCGTCATCAGTCCATGCATAATTCTCCATATGCACTCATGAAGGTCCACCCCACCTTTGAGAGCCAATTTGTTTACCTGAAACCATAAATCATTATTTTTTAAGCAATGGTTTGAATAAATAATGAAACACTATGTATAATATAACTGACACTGGTAGTATTTTTTCTCTCACACAAAAATTAGATTTTTAAAAATGTTAAAAAAAAACAAGCATAAAAAGCAGAAGAGTGCTTTGGATGTGAGTGCGCTAAAAACATACGCGCTTGACAATTATGCATATCTGCATAGATATTGGCTTCATTGTTTATAATTTGATTTGCCAACATACCAACTGTTTCTGGAGGTCAGGATTACTACGTAGTTGTTCCTCGATGTCTTCCAGAGAACCAACATCCTTTATTGGCAGCAAGTTTCGATCCAGGACTGCCTCTGCCTCTTCAGTTGGTTTCATACTCTGCAGCGTCTTGAAGATGATTCGAAGTTGGTCCATCATCATTTCCTGCTTTGTTAATATATTACGCAGAAGAGCTAGAAAAAACAACAAGAAAGATAAAATGTGTTTTTAATTTTGTCTTTAATTAGGTAAATACTCCCCATTTGTTGGTATTACTATTTTCTAATAATTTCCAATGCAAGTTACAAGTTAACATGGCAAACTAAAAATCAGATAATCAGGTGGTTCTAGAGGATTGTTTAAAATTACAGCATCTTAACAAAACAATTTTAGATAGGAGTTTTTGGAAGCACAAACATAAAGTTTTACATTTTTGTATAAGACTATAAAAACTGTACAGTGTTAAAACATACATTATGTTTATAACAAATATGTAGGGCTCTATATTGACAGTCCATGCGCAAAGTGCAAAGATTAGTGTTGTTTCAAAACTATTTCTAAATTCAGTTCTAATTTCCAGCAAACGAATAAATGAACAATAATAACGAAGTGCTCAAAAACCTGAGTTATATCCTAAAACACATGCTGTGCCCCATATGGTCTAAAACCTGCAGGTGGGCAAATATAAGCTTGTTTTTAATAAAACAAATATAAATATGGATGTAATAAATAATACTGCTAATAATAATAACATTATACAAAAGCAAACTGTTATAAATGAACTGAAAAGCCTCCCGAGATGAAGAAGACATAAAAGCAGTGATTTTTATATAGGCTAGAAAATAATGTGTTTTGTAATATTTTAATCCTTTAATATCCTATATATATCCTTATTATATCCTACATATATCCTTAATATTTTAATTCTTTTTCATGTGATATGAGATATTTGCGTATTGCTCAAAGATATTTGCGTATTGCTCTACATGTTGTGTGTATTAAGCAGTGTGTAAGTGAGGCACAACTCTGCGCTGGACAATAGACCGGCTTTGTTCTGATCTATTGAAAAATCTACTAGTTTCTCAAAATAGCAACGCGCCAGCAATGCGCCTCAGAACGCCTTTCTTTTTAGACCAGAACGCCTATGGGCGCACAAATGAGCGCTAATGCATTTGCTATTTAAACAGCGTAGCGGAAAACGTCAAAACGACTCTTGCGCCAAGCTGAAACTAGCAAACAACAATTGCGTCGCCCCTTGCGCCACACTGCACCGGGTGTATGATAGGGCCCATAGTGTGACTCACCAGAGAAAAAGTACTAAATACAAACAACTACTATGAAAATCAATATACTCACATGTTTGCAGATTTGATGTCTGCTCTCTGGTCTGGGGTGGCTCAGTGTGCTTTGATGTGACTGTAGAAGGTGCAGAGTGGCTTTGTCCGTGAATCTTAGCGCTAACATGGCTTGATCTATGAATTTTACTGCCAACATGACTTGGTCTAGCCACCTCAGTGCTTGATGTGTGGATCTCATTGCTGTTATGCCTTGAAGATGACTTATTAGTCCCATGGTGCTGACTTGTGTGGAGCTTTTGGCTGTTATGTCCTCTTGGGTAAAAGTGATCACTGCTATGGCCTCCGGAGTAGAGATTAGGACTGCTGCAGCCTCTTGAGTAAAGTTTAGGAGTGCTGTGCCCTTTTAAGTAAAGCTCAGGAGTACTATCATCACTTGGAAAAAGCTCAGGACTGCTGTGGCCTCTTTCATAGTCGTAAGAAGCGATGTGGCCCTTGAGGTGGTGGGAAGGAGTGGTTTGATTGAGTACTTGGAGCTTGGGGCTGCTTTGCTTTCCTGGTTCTAACTCATTAGTGTTGTCCTGTCTAGCAATACTCCTAGCATTGGGCAATGAAAAGTTTCTGCACAAATGAAGAAAACATGTTTATTTTTTCAGCTGTGAAAAATTATCTTACAGTTTTTGTTTTAAATGCTGAGGCTTCTTACCTGTTTTGTGACTTTGTTCCTTCCAGGCTGCCTTCCATGTCTTCATAGTGACAAACAGCAGTGATGCGGCCTGTTGGGTTGAACCCTGGACTGTTTTCCTTTACTGGGTTTACTGCTAAAGTTTTGTGCTGCTTGATGATTTTTGGAGCATTGGGCAATGAATATTTTCTACTCAAAGATACAAAAGATCTTAGCATTTCATCTAGTGCAATAAAATAAACTAGTTACAATTAGCGAAAGGTTCTTACCCTTTTTTTGACTTTTTTTCTTTCACAATGCTTTCCGTCTCTGAATCATCCTCCCCAGGCAATAGATTGTTTTTAGGCCTAAGTACATTCAGTAATTTCATAGTATGAAACTATCAGTAAATGTTGTTTATCACCCATTAAAATATGTGTTAATAAAAGAAAATAAAACGAAACACTAAAACATATTTGTCCCCTTACATTCTTTTTCTTTTAAAAGCACGTGGTGAGTTCCCCTCATCACTTCCAACATCAGTCTGTTCAACAGCTTGGGGTAATTTTCGTCTTGCTTCATTGTAGTCATCTGTGAGAGTAAGAAAGACAATTTTAAGTAATAAAAAAAAATTTGTTTAATCTGAAGGAAGAGGTGAAAGAATGTAACTTACGTGAAGTGAAGATAATTCTGGCCTTATGGGCTTTCCATTCGTCTCCAGGACAATCTTGCAATCTGACAGCTTTGGCTATATCAGTTTTATTTGGAGGCCACAAGCACTCTCCATTTTTAATCCAGATGGAAGGCACAACTTCTACCTCATTAGTTTTGTCAAAAACAACAATGTGAAACATCTAAAGAAAAATCAGAAACCCACAGAAACACTCTCTTTAGCCAACACAACTACTAAAAGGCCTGTTTTCCTTAATGCAATAGTGGAACAACAACAAATCGTTTTTCAAATGGTAGTCTCACAAACTTCTGGGGCTTTTGTCTAACTATGAAACATTTGATGTTAGTGGAAAGTTTGGAAACAACATAAATTCCCAGCTCTCTTGAGTCAATAGGATATGTAAAGAAGTGTTCCACCTGTTTATATTCATTGGCCACAATGTAAACTACTCCTTTTTCCTCAATAATGTTCTGGACTAACACCAACTTTTTGTCAATTTTAATACAACAATCTCTCTCTTTGACACTCACAACTACACCGTCTGTAGCTAGCACTTTATATTGACGAACTTGTGGTGAAAAGCATTCTGGCACTGGCCCATCCTTATGCTCACTTTTCAGTTTTTCACTTGCCTCTTTTATATCAGTACTGGTGATATTTTCTATCTCTGATAATCTACGTATCACCTGAGTTAAAGGATTTAGTGGCCCTCGAACCAACTTTTTCAGTTTTCCTAAGAAATTTTCAAAAGGAAATGCTGATATGAGGTCTAAATTGCCATGAAGTTTGACATCTTCATTAAGATGCACCAGACCATGAACATTGTAGACCAAAAACTCCTCACCATAAAGCTGGCCAAAGTGTTTAATAAATGATATCAGCAGAGTTTTAGCAAAGTCATTCAACTCCATACAATATTCAGGACTTGCTAAAATGTACACACCTACTGACAATAGCATGAAATTGTCATAGATTTGAGGCTCTACAACACCCCTCAGCACAACCGGACCAGTGTACAACAGGAATTGTCGAAATTCTGTGGCTTTCCATCTGCATCGTTCAAGCAGTGCACGTGGCCTTCGAGCAAACTCACTTGGAATGTAATTTCTCAGTGCAAGAAGTCTATCTGAAACCATGGACGCCTGACTACATGAAATACGACAGTGCAAGGGACCTGTGGTGCCAATCCACAAATCTAAGAGACGCCTCATGACACCCAGACATACTAGGTGCATATAATCATACGGAAAACAAGTGATCATGTCAATGCCAACTTCTATAAAAGGTGATTGCTGGACATGGTGTTGTTCATCTGTTACTTGCCTAAAACTATCATCACTTCTGCACCTTGCATTGACCTCAGGAAATGTCATTCTATTTGATTTGCGGACGCCTGTTTGATGACATTTGTCACATCCATGATAAGCGTTGTGTGACTTTACACCTCTGATGAAGGCTCGAGCTGGGGTGTCACACACAACAGAAACAACATTCAAAAAGAAGATTTTCTGCTTGAACAGAAACCCATCTTTCAACACTTTAAGCTCTTGAACCAGATCATTAAGATATTCAGTCAATGAATTTGGCTTAGAAGTACCACAAAACAGTCCTATCAATATTGGTTTCTTGGTGTATCCTTGCAACAAACCCAGAATTGGCCAGAACTGTACACTAGTACTCTTGAAGATAGGTAGCCCATCAAAATTCAGCTGCAGTTTAAAAACATGTTTGTCTGGCAGAGTAGACCAAATTAAATCTAGAAATTTCTGAATAGAATTCAGAATACCACAATAATGAAACAAGCCACCAGCAACACTGGTAATGTTGTAGCTTGTTTTTGTTTTCAGCAAGGTTCGTCCATCCTTTGGCAGAGGGGAATGATAGATTTTGAGAATGCTGAGAAGCGCTGTTAAAGCTATTAGAGATATTCCAAATTCAATTGCCCAGTCTGCCAGAGAACTTTGCAAATCACCACCCATCTCACTACACTGTTCTCCAAGATCAGTCAGATCTTCAATAGAAGCTGCAGTCTTTTCATACACTTCTTTATCCTGAATGTCATCAACTATATCCTCATCACTTTCATCACCATTTTGCATGTCAGATTCCTCCAAATCATCAACATCAATATTTGACTCCTCATTTATGTTTCCTTCCCTATGGTGCTCATTTGACATCTCTTTACTGACTAGCCTTAATGCCCTTCTTCTTGAATTGCCCCTATCATTGTACATCCAAGTCTTTTCCATACCGTGGCTTTACTCTGGTCTTTTGTACCACCTGAAACAAAACAAAATAGAACATTACACAAAAATGCACACACACCAAACAAAAACGATCAAGAAAATCAGAAGTGAATGGATGAGATAACAAGATGCTTGTACATTTTAATATTTAGTTTTTAATTTGAAATTAAAGAAGCTGAAACAGGAAAATGCAGCCCTTAGTAGTTTTTATTTATAAACTAACTAAACAATGTATAAAGACATATTTTTTCCTTTTTATTTAATAAAAAAAATGAAAAACAACCAAAACACTCATTTGCGGTCATTACATAATTTGTCAAAGAAAAATTAGATGGAGCAAGCACAGTTTATTAAATTAATGAGTGACACAATAGAATCCTTAATCTAGAAAAAAGCAAGCACACACATACAATTTAATTCAAATGTTTGAAGTCCAAAACTAATTATCAGCCTTTTCTCATTACTCAATAACTACATTTAGTCAAACTAGGGCTGCACAATAAAAAATAAAAATAATAATAATAATTATAATCACGATTAATTTGTTCAAAATGTTAATCACGATTAAAAATGATGATTATTTCTTTATATATATATTTTTTTAGTTGTGTTTTCTTATAGTTGTGGCTGTGATATATACATACAGTTGAAGTCAGAATTATTAGCACCCTTTGAATTTTTTTCTTCTTTTTTAAATATTTTCAAAATGATATTCAACAGAGTAAGGAAATGTTCACAGTATATCTGAAAACATTTGTTCTTCTGGAGAAAGTCTTAGTTGTTTAATTTCAGCTAAAATAAAAGCAGTTTTTAATTTTTTAAACACCATTTTAGGGACAAAATTATTCGCCCCTTTAAGCTTAATTTTTCCTCGATAGTCTACAGAACAAACCATCGTTATACAATAACTTGCCTAATTACCCTAACCTGCCTAGTTAACCTAATTAACCTAGTTAAGCCTTTAAACGTCACCTTAAGCTGTATAAAAGTGTCTTGAAAAACAACTAATCAAATATTATTTACTGTCATCAAGACAAAGAGAAAATAAATCAGCTATTAGAAATTAGTTATTATTACTATGTCTGTAGTGTATAAGTGTGTGTGAATGGTTCCCAGAGATGGGTTGCGGCTGGAAGGGCATCCGCTGCATAAAACTTGCTGGATAAGTTGGTGGTTCATTCCACTGTGGTGACCCTAGATTAATAAAGGGACTAAGCCGACAAGAAAATAAATGAATGAATATTAAACTTCACAGCCTCAACTATAAAAAAAAAACACAACTTGTAAAAAACTGGGTGGGGATTAGATTTCAATTTCTTGTCCAATTTCTGCATGCACATTTTTTTCACTCGCTACTCTGCCAGGAACTTCACCGCTGGAGAGCACCTTCAATAATAATCTAAACTTTTGTTTAGAGATGGACTGCAAATTGTACTCAAAAGAGTGGCTACATGTGGTGAAGAACGATGGCAAAGCTAAGTGCAATTATTGTAATAAACTAGTAAGTTAGAAAGCAGAGTGTCGCTACCAACATGACAAAGTATCTGCAGTAGGCATGGGACGATAACTGTTTTCAAGTTATACAGTGGTTTGGAAAACTAAAGGTTTTAAAACTGCCAAAAAAAAATTCTGCAATACCATTCCTAAGGTATGAATTGTTTTTGAAACTAATGAAGACGGCAGAAGTCAATGATTTATTTTAATTATTTAGCCTGACATGTTTACTGCTCCAAAATTGTATAAATGTTTCTCAAGATATATTGTGTTCAAATGGGAAAAAGTTTTGTTTTTTACCCAGACATTTAAAGAGATTATATTTTAGAGCAGTAATCACAATAATGTGATACATTAAAATTTTTTATCCAAGGTTATCATAACGCCAGAATCTTATACCGGCCCATGCCTAATTGGTTGGTTACTTCACAAATATTGAATTTAAAAAAATGTTGTGTTGGTTCATTGTGCATCCCGCGGGTGCAACCAAGTTGTGCATTTAGTTGAACTTTTTGGGCGTGCTGAGCAGTTCGGTGTTAGTTTTATTTAAATATTTTGAGGTGGAACTAAACAGCGCATTTTCTCCGCCTTCTTCTATAAACACTTCTTGGTTTTTATAATGTAAAATCGCGATATTTAATTATTGATTGGTGGCCACAAACTTAGTTCTCATGAAAATAATACAATTAATCGTGCAGCCCCAAGTCAAACTGTTATTCTGTTTGTTTGGTTTTTTTTTTTGTGTTTTTACTGTTATTGACAAGCACATTTTTTTAAAAACATTATTAGAAAAATTAACTCTTGTATTTGTTGCTATTAGTTTTTCCTACTATGAAAGTCAAATATATGTTTTCTGCTTTTTTCAAAACATTTTATTTGGTGTTTAATAGAAAAAAAAAATTATAAAGATTTGGAACCATTTGAGGAGAGTAATTGTACACTAATTTTTGTGTGAACTATCCCTTTAAATCTATTTCTCTAACCTGTTCACTCTTTTTACTTAAGGTTCAGGCATGAAACAAACTTATCTAAAATTGCCTATTTATTCACATGCACATAAAAGTAGAGTGCTTTCTTATCCACGTAAGCACATAATGTATACAGCATACTCAAATTTGATATATCTTAGCTTCAATTAAGCATATTTCCTCATAATTTAGGCTTTTTTGTTCATAATACAAATATAATACATGAAAGATCTCCCTTTCCAATGCATGCATGCATCCGTGCGTGCGTGCTGGAGAGGGGTGTGATTTTAGAATACATTTTGAATCATTCCAAGTGATCATTATGTTTTTGCTTGAAATGCCCTTCATCTCTCGCTTTATTACGTAAACAGCAACTTTGCAAGGGCTAGGGTTAACATCACAGCGCGAAAATGGTCCAACTTTTAATGAGATAATCTCAGTAACGTTCGATAAGGATAAACAAAACGAATAAATATCCTTGAATTGTGTGATGCCGTCTTCTGTTAATTTACATATTATTTTGGAGTTTATTTATCATGATGTGCCACTTAACATGAGATAAATTAACTTTAGCTAACGTTAAAGAATATTTATCGAGCTTATGGGTATACACTGACAACCACGCCGATGACATTTACATTTCCGACGATGAAACTGATAACTGATCTGAAACAATATATTAGAAATCAAATTATTACTTACCAAAATGCCTTGCTCCAGTTAGATCCACGACCGTTTGTGAAGTGCGTACAAGTGGCCGCCCGACCAATAGGCCTTTTTCACACTTCCTGGTTCCGGTAAGCGAAGCAGTGTACCACAACATCCGGTTTCAATGCGACGGAGCAAGAAAGAATGGCAGGGTCATCTCATCGCTGTGATTGCTGCGTTCCCAGCTGCTCCAACTCAAAAACGACACTCTTACTTTAATGACCACGATCTCCCGAAAGACGAAGGACAGGGAAAAGCATGGATGACAATATTAAAGGGGGTTGAATGCCGTTTCAAGTTATATGCGGGAGTACGCTCGTATGCTGTATGCACTTCAAAGCAGAGATTATCATGTTTCATTAAAGACTGGTGGTCTATGGTTTATTTTGATGAGTAATTATAATATAGACAAAACTCCAGTTAAGCTATCTGCCTTCCACAAACAAGTGCTCATCATGGTCATTAATCTATAAGCATGATTTATTCCTACATTGTTGTTATTTTGGAATAATAGACAGTTCATACAAATGCAAATCTCTTTTTTTAATTGGTTTGACAGCAAAATTGTTTGTTTAGTCAGTTATATAATAAAGATGGTAAACTTTTCTTACAATGAAGTCCTTTATTACAAAATCTCAATAACCCAGAAAGTTTTCAACTGTTATTGGTTCAATTCCTGCAGAGACATGTTATTCATTCATGTTATTTAGAGGTATTAATAAGACCATCCTTCTGATGCATTGTCTTTTGATATTACTAAATCTTATGTCGGCAAATTTTGTTTTACTAAATACCAAGAGTAATGATAGAGCTATTCATACTCTTTTCCAAAAAGAAATCATTACTGTACCTTATATTCAATTTTATTATATGTCTTTATTAAAGGGTGAATTGAAGAAAAGTGTGGCTGTTACCACAGAAATATCATGTTAGAAATAGAATTAAAGAAATGTCCTATAAACTCATCCACAAGTTTTATCCAGCAAAACATTGTTTGCAAAAATTTAAAAGTGGGATTGATGTAAATTGTATTTTTGTAACGAATATGAGGAGACAGTTTTACACTTATTTTGGCATCGTACATAGTCAGCTTATGGGGTGAGTTGCAAAATGTATTAATAACGATTCTTTTGTGTTCAAAACCTCTTTCATTATGGATAAATGTACATTTGGGCTTTACTTGATTATCCTAATCTAGAGGAAAATAGTTTTATTTATTTAATTTGCTTATGTTGTTAACAAAATTGTACATTCATAAATGTAAATTTACTAATATGAAACCAGATTTTAAGGTATTGATGACTGAAATATGCTTGTATAATACCAGGATCAACTCTCTAAACAAGAAACTCGACCCACTTTAAAATGTGTGAACTCTACAATGTATTTCATTATTACATATGTTATATTACATTTTGATTATTTGTATTTTATTCATAATTACCTCCTGGTATGTACATTTTTGTATTGTAAAATGTTATTTGCTGTTCTTTTAATAAATAATAAAAATGAATATTATCCACGAGTAGGAGCTAACGTGTTTCCAGACTTGAGAAAACCTCACGAGCATTAAACAACCTGTAATGTATTAACCGATAGCAACTCGCCTGTATAGCTAACTTACCTCGCCATTCACTATATCTGACTCTGAATAAAAAGGAAGGAGGGGGATAGCACAGTTTACAGACGGGACTACTGACATTAAACTCATCCTGCTGGATGTTAAATAGCCAGGTTAATCTAGCTTACGAATGGCTTGAATGGGCAGATCTTATGTTGTTGGCTGTGCACCTTACTGGAACCTGATGTTGCAAACGGTAAGACACGTTTTCTGCACATATTCTGCAAATCGGTATCATCTTTTAAATGCTGTTTTATTAAGGCAGTTTTACACATTCACCGAACAACATCTTCCTGTCCAAATTATGGCAAAGTTGACCGTGAGAAAGTCATCCGCTGTCCCGAGGCTGTCATGTCTCTGCGACTAGCGAACCCGGAAATATCGATACACTGCTTCGAAGGGCGCTTCCGGTGTTCAATTCCGCTGTGAAAAAGGTCTATGGTCACGACTGCAATATCATAAGGATAAACCCATAAAGCATTGCGCATTAGGCGCGCTACGGGCGCGCTTTTTCTCAAAGCAACCTGATTGGTAGATTTGGATTTTTGAAATTTTTCTGGTGTTTGTGCATGAGACAAGCAGCACAAAAACAAATGACTTAACATTTTAACACTCACGTTTTTATGGAATATCATCATTGGTTAATAATAATATAATTAGCAAAATAATAATTTGAATAATAAAAAAAATATGTAATGTAGGGTAAATTTAGTTGCAACATACAAGAAAGGAATAGATTAATTCAAATAATTCAATCTTGATTGTTTCCTGGATTAAAATAAAGGCATTAGAAGATGCAAGCGGAATATGGAATGACTGTGTATTGAAATATTTTTTTACTCGAAAAAATATTTTTATGTATTTTAAATGTGGTACCAGAAAGGCCAACCTTATGTGGGCCACAGATCAGTTTTGAACATCTGGGCCAAATACTACATTTGACATCTGGCCCATGTCTTGTCTGCCGCCTTCAAGACGGTGCCACCTCTGCCAAACCTGGGCCATGTTTGGCCCACATGCTGTATGCCAGTGCCGGATGAATGCCTGATGTGCCAGATTTGTGCCAAATCTGGGCCAGAATTCTTTGCTACCTGGGTATATACTACTGTATATAGTTACTATAGTAGCTTATAGTTAGTTCTATTGGATTGCGATCGCTGGGGTAATTACATTATATTAAATACACAGCAATAGCTTCAGATGCAACAGATTGATGACCAGGTTAAGTTTTCTGGCTCATTTACAGCCCTAACATACATAAAAAAAACATCTACGAAGAATAGACGTTGGTCTATTGGTGTGTGTGCGCCATTGCATGCAAAGTTTCTGTACTTATAACCACCTCAGAGGATATTGGGGGTCGCGAGCCACTGGCATTGTTATTTTAGGGGTCGCGGGCTGAAAAGTTTGGGAACCCCTGCTGTATAGCACAAGAACACCATAAATGTCAACCAACACCATGGAATCGCGTCAGAGCGGTTCCATGGTGTAATGGTTAGCACTCTGGACTCTGAATCCAGCGATCCGAGTTCAAATCTCGGTGGAACCTGCCTTTTAATCTTTTCTTGGTAAGATTTGTTTGAATGGGCTGAATATCACAGTTATAGTTATGGCATGACAAAAATGCATGTTTTGAATAATTACTTTCTGTTAAAGGTTAGTAAAGTTAGTTAAACGCTGACATTGTAACTGCCGTTAACGTCTTCTTTCTTCCCCTTATTTTACAAAGTCAATAATCAGCTACAAAATTAAAAACTGAAATGTGTCAAACAAATTTTTCGAAAATAAAACCGTTCTGTAAAAGGCCTTTTTTCTTTTTTATATTCACACATAAAACATTATTATAATGATAGAAACACTGCATATGAACACTAGGGTGCAGTGTTGTGCGTATCTTGAGTTATACAGAAACCCCAAAATGGTTGAATGCTAGGCCCAAGAAACCTGTAAATAAATAAACAAGATGCTTCTCGAAGGTTTATTTTTAGTTACCATGAGAAATTATAGCCTAAGGACCCCTTGTTTACGTAAATGAAAGTGATGATGGGAAAGTCCTCATAATTCACAATAAAAGTGAAACTATTGCAGAATCATTTTAGCTACCTGTATTTCATTCATTCTGAGTGGATAGTTTGGTAATAACGAAACGTTTTAAACACGGCCTGACCTTTTTGGATGCCACTGAAGGTATTTACTCATTTTGTAATTATAAAGGTAGTCTATCACATAAATATTTGATTGCACACAATAGCAACCAAGCCTATGACTCATAATAGAGGACCATATGCATTTTCTGGCAATGCATGCAGACTTGTTTTACTGCCAATTTCAGATTAGTTTGCCGGCCATTTGCATATTGTATGGAATGTATTTACAGTGTTTAATACATAATGGTTTGTCCAAAATTGTTTTGCCTTTCTTTTACAATTATTGTTTTCAAAAGCTCTTTGATTACGTATGATTGGGTTTATAGCAATAAAATAGTTCTACAGCTTAAAGAGCCAATTATAAAGCAGCATCCAACTGTTCTTCGACAATTCCCACATGGTTAATAAAAATATATTTTTTTTTAAATTTGAAATATATATATGCTTTTTTATTTTTATTTAGTTTTTGCCTCATTACATTCAGACCTATCTAACAAGAAACCTAGGAAGCTCCAGTACAGGTGCATTACTGTAAACTGTACAGGACTGATATCAGAGCTGCATTTTTGAAGCATATTCTGTAAGTCTGCCAGTAATGTACTCTCACTGTTGCTGACTCATCTTTGAAAAAAATGTATCTGCTGGGCACTTGGGTGGTTTCCTGCAAAGCAAAACATGTTCTTATATAAACTAATGGGTAAATGCTTTTTATTTTAACTTTTGAGAGCTAAAGCTGCAGTGTTTCAATTTTCTTTTTTTTGACTCAGTGTTTGTTTTTGATTGAGCACCCGTCTTTGAAAAATCCTAGATGTGTGCACATTTCTGTTTCTTTAATGCTTTTTATTTGTCACAACATAGTTCATTCACAAAACATATTCATTCGCACTCAAATTGCTGCAATATGCATTTCTTTCTTTACTCTTAAAAATAAAGATTCCAAAAGGGGGATTTTGCTGTGATGCCAAAGAGGAACCACTGAATAACTTTTTCCACAGAACCTCACAGCAAACAGTTTATGAATAAACCATTTCTCTTCATGTGAAAGGTATAATAAAAAAATTAAATTGTAAAACTCTTAAGAATTGTTTTAGCGCAGTGCAAGGTTTCCAAAAATCTCCATGAAAGGTTATCATTGTACAGGCCCGTAGCCAGCGGGAGTTCAGGAGGTTTGAAAGACCCACTCCCCACTGACACAATCCAGAATTTGGGCTTTACATATACACATATGTCCAATTTTTGACTGCTATGCCATCATAAACTGTAAAATTACCGAAAGAAAAAGACAAATTTATTTTTAATTAATTGGCCAAATTCTGACTGAGGAACTTTGAATAAGATGGCCAGATTTTATTTTATTGATTTTAATTTTTTTTTGTCTATAGGCTACAATTTTTAGTTTAAAACAAGTTTAACCAGATTCTTATTTTTTCAAACGATGGATGATATAGAATTTATACTTAAAATAAGTATTTATTTATGTTTCTTTTTTATTTTTTATTAAAAAAATGCTATTCTCATAACCTTATTTATAAAACTGTAATAATTTACATTTTAAATGCAATTTTTTTAATTAATACTTCGTAATAAAATAATATAAGCACTTTGACAAAATTGTAGGAAATATTTTTAGTACACCAAAAAGTGTGGTTATGTTATGATGACCATCCGACAAGCTAACCCAGCAAAGATTAGTGTTTAAATTGTCGCTAAAATGCAGTATTTTAACCTCGCATGAGGCAAATAACTTCAAAAAGGTTCACTTTTTCAGAAAAAAGAGCCATCCCTTTCAATAGGCTGGCTACAGGCTTGTTGTAACCTTCAATACCAAAAGAGAATCTTTGTTTTTAAGAGTGTTCAGTTGAAAGCAAAAAATAATGTTGGTAAGCTCTGTTGACTGTAACTACTGGCATCTATTCAATCATAGCTACCATTTGATGGCTATATTTGGTTGCCAACTTTCCTTAAAACTTCCTTTTTTTGTTCAATAAAAAGGAGAAATTCATACAAGTTTGGAACAAGTGGAGAGTGAGACCATTATTTTAATGTAATGTTAGTTTTAGTTGTTAGAAAAAAGGACAGAAAGCAATGATTTAATTATATGATTAAAGTAAATACTAGATGAAGAAAACATGTTTAACTAGAAGACAAGGTTATAAACAGCAAATTTCTGGAGTTGAAAAATTAGGAGTTAGGCAAAAAAGTGTGAAAGAGTTAATTTTTTTGAGTTTATTTTTAAACTTTAACACAATTTTGTGTTATGGGATACCCCTTGCTGTGTTGTATTTTGGAGTTCATTCTCTGGTGTTCAGAAACGTGCTTTAACTCCTTACTGGAGTTAAATTTTTAGAAAGTCCGCCATTACACAACTCTGCCGAGCAGCACATGAGAACTGGAGTTATGTTCTTCGTTGTGAGGTAGGTAAAAGTGCATTGTTATACAATTCTAAAAGCTTTTTCTAAATGTTGGATGTTTTGTAGCAGAAGTGTGTTTTGCTGTAGCTGTTTCATTTTGTATTGTTAGGCTAGTGACTGCATGTGGCTAACTTAGCATAGCATGTTAGCTTTTCCAATGTGGCTGTTTTGTGCAGTTTTTAAAAAAAATTTGTGGATGTGAACAAGTTAACTCTAGCTAATAATCTTTTCTTCCCCTGTGTTGCTAAAAATGTGTGTTCTGCTGTCAAAAAGAAGTGGTAGGCCTACTTGATCAGATGGAGAAACCTGCTGTTCACATTTCAAATAGGCTAACTTACACAAAGAGGTAATGTCATTATCTTTTATCCAGCAATAGAGCTTTATGTCTGTAAGATTTAATATGTGTAATATTGCTCATGAAATGTTTTGGATTGTATCATGATTTAGTCGTGACCGTGAGAGTATGCTGTTTTCAGCTATATTTACATTACATTTTCAATCACACTAACATAAGTTGTTAAATAACATTTATCTTTTTTATTTTAGGCCACGATGCTGATAAAAGTGCAATTTGGAGGCAAGAAAAAATATATTAAACTGGAAGAAGATTGTTTCTTGGATTTTTTCAGTGCGGGTGAGTTTTAGTGTAACAGAGTATTTTTAAAAAATTATAATAACAATAATAATAATAATAACAGTCATTTTGAAATGTATTTGATAAATTATACATTGTTGTTATGTTGTAGTCCAGCACAAGTTTGTGATACCAGAGGAGACAGCATCAAAAGTCACAGATGACCATGGAGTTGTTATTTAAATGGGGATGTATTTCAAGAACTTGCAACAACCAAAGAAACATGTCATCCACACTAATGATGGTAGGTTATTTAAGAACATTTTTATAGATTTTGAAAGTTGGTCTCATGACTCAGAGTGAAAGTGTGCATTTCAGAACCATTTGCTGACACGTGTTGTTTTTTCATCAGATTTGACTGTCCTGCAGCAAGGAGCTGTTGAAGTGCCCTCCTCCCCAAGTCTGACAGATTCATTGTCTGTGTCAAGCAGTTTGAGCAGCAGTGATTCTGGATCTCAAATTATTCAACCTTTAATGGGCAGTGTCCAAAAAAATGTAAGTTTTTTTTTTTTTTAAACTTCCATATACATAGATATTATACCGTAAACATTACAAAATAATGTTACAAAATGAATGCATTTTAAAGTAAAAAATAGTATAAACACAGTTATTAGATTAAGTTTTTTTGTTAAAAAGTATTAATTTTGGTTATTTTTCTAAATACTTTTTTTTTTCTTCGTTTCAGAAAATCGAGCAAATTCTAACTTCAAAGACAGCAGAGTTGACTGTGATTAAGGAGTATGACAAGATATTTTTTTGCTGCTTTTGATTCCTGTGAAGTTAATTTTATATAATGTAATGTGTTAAATTGTCTCATGCAATTTTACTAAGCCATTGGTTTTAGTTGGCACTAGCTGCTAACATATATTAATTGTAAATGTTTTGCTGTTAGATTTAATGCTGTGATGACAATTAATTTCAAAGTGTGTACATCGATGGAAATTCTAAATCTAATGTGTGGATTTGCATGAATAAAAGCAGTAAGTAAAGAGTATTGCATCAGTTCAGTCATTTTCAGTTATTTTATATATATATATATATATATATATATATATATATATATATATATATATATATATATATATATATTGTTTGAAGTACACTTTAACTCTAAAAAGTGTTACATTTTAACATTGGTAAGGAGTTTATATTATACCCAAATGTAAAAGTACTCTTTGTAGGATTACAATTTTAACTCCAGAAAGTGTTATAATCTAACTCAAAAAATGTGTTAAAATTCAACTCCAAAAGCAGAGTGATTTTAACTCTGAATGGGAGTACATTTGATGGTCACGCATGTACACTCAGATTGAGTTGATTTTGACTCCCAGGGAGTTTATTCCAAAGACCAGAATTTGCTGTGTGGTAATACAGTTTTTCAGCTTTCTTGAGTGTAGTATAATGTAACCTCTTTAACTAATAGTAAAAGTGCTACAGTAGTTAAGCAAGTGATCGTTAGTTGAATGGTTTATTCTTCAGGACAGTGCTTCTCAACTACATTCTTGAAGAACCACCAGCACTGCATGTTTTGGATGTCTCCTTTGTCTCTCACACCCATTTGAGGTCTTTCAGTATCTGCTAATAAGCTGATGAACTGAGTCAGGTGTGTTTAGTTAAGAAGACACCGGAAAATGTGCGGAGCTAGTGGTCCTCCAGGAATGTGGTTGAGAAACACTGCTTTAGGAGACCAGTGTTCTGAAACTAACTCTATTTTCCAAAAATCTCTCTTGTTATCCTATGCATATTTGTATGTTTTCATTTAAAACTTTTCCATTTACTGTTAATAAAATAACGTTTGTCATATCGGGTTTAATGTAATTTGTTGCAATTTAAGGAAAATGACATGGCAACTGGCTGCTGTAGAAAGCAAACCTATACAGAAACATCATCGTCACAGTAAGTTAGACTTCATATAACTATAATAAAAAAGAGATAATCCACAGAACATGAGCCAAAATAACTTTTTAAACCAAAGACAACACCAAACGAAAAGAGAAAAAAAAGGATTTAAATAAACAAGAAATTAAACCAGTCAACTAAGGTGTTGACTGGCATAAGAACACCCTCAATTTAATAGAGACATTTTTAATGTCAGCTTCAATCCAATATCTACAATCGTTCATTCAATCATTCCTTCTTTTTTGTTTGGCTTAGTCCCTTTATTCACGAAGGGTCTCCGCAGCGGAATGAACCGGCAACTCATCCAGTATGTTTTACACAGGCGATGCCCTTCCAGCTGCAACCCAGTACTGGGAAACACACATACACTCTTACTTGCACACAAAAACAGTACGGCCAATTTAGTTTATTCAATTCACCTATACTGCATGTCTTTGGACTGTGGGGGAAACCGGAGCACCCGGAGGAAACCCACGCGAACACGGGGAAAACATGCAAACTCCACACAGAACTGCCAACTGACCCAGCCGGGACTCAAGCCAGCGACCTTCTTGCTGTGAAGCAACAGTACTAACCACTGAGCCACCGTGCCGCCCAACATGGAATCATCTGTTAATAATTATTACATTTTTCAAAAAAATTATTGACTTATTTTACATGCATTTATTCAAACAATATGATCCACTTACCTAAATTCACATTTAAAATGTAGATTTATTTGTCATTCCAGTCATACCGAAGCACACAGTGCAGCAAAACAACATTTCTTCAGCTCCACAGGGAAATTTAAGAGACGCTTTTGTACTGTAGGCACAAACAGAATACACACAGAGAAAGCAACACATAAACAGGATTTTGTGAAGCACATGGATCAAAAAGTAGGTGCAGACATGTCAGTTTTGACAACATTTTCAGTGCTTGAATAAGTACCGCCGAGCATCACAATGATAAATCAAATTGCAAATGGTATTACAAACAAACACAATTTAAGCTTTTTAACTATAATCACTACATTTAAATGAATGTGTAAATTTGTGTTTAAATGTGTATTCTGGCAGAGCCCTGTGGACATCAAACTCTACGATAGACGGAGACGTGCGGCAACACCCTTCAAATCCTAATCAGTTTGTTGAGCTGTGTACACATGTATTAAGCCTAACTGCAGATCTGCAAACTCAAGCAATACAACACCTCTGTAACAATGTAAAAACAATACAAAATGTTGCACACAGCTCTCCACTTCAGACTAATGCGATATAGTTTCAGATTTAGACGCATTACTCAACTCGTGTGACCCTGGAGCACAAAACCATGCAGTCTTATGTTGCACAGGTATATTTTTAGCAACAATGATACCAACAGCCAACAATACATTAGATCAAAATTTTTATTTACTTATGCCAAAATCAAAAGAATGTTGAGTAAAGATCATGTTCCACTCAGATATTTTGTATATTTTCTACTGTAAATAAATAAAGTATATTTCTGTTTCCTACTGGACGTATATCATATAATATGCATTTAATTTGGACAATTTTAAAGGAGACTTCCTCCATACTTTGGTTTTTATGAACCCCCAGATTCCAGATTTTCAAATAATCATTTCAGCCAAAAAATGTCATGTCATACCAAGCCATACATTAGTGGAAAGCTTATTTAGCTCATTCATTTGATGTATTTAAAGTTTTAGAAATCTCAGTTGAAATGACACTTTACTGGTTTTGTGTTCCTGGTCATGTAATTTACTGCATTAAAAAAAACAGTTTCCAAGTACATTAACCACCCCAAAGAACTGCTAAAGAAACACAAGCACAAATAGAACACACACATAAAACATACACGCAAAAATACTACTAAAGAACTAATTTGTGTGTGCGCGCATGTGTAGACTGGTTTTGGTGGTTAACAAGGACAGAAAATTAGTATGACATGGCATTACCTATATTGCAATGTTAAGGTGGTAATTGGTAATTTAAAACTGTTTCATACTCAACAAGGTGTTTTCATATTCAGAACTGCCAGAGGTTTTCTCAGAGAGTTGAGTTTGGGGTTATTGTACACTAATGTGATATAATATGCCGTTCTTATAGTATAAAATACATTACACCAATAGAGTGTAAGTGTGTGTGCGCATGTGTATTCCTGCCATTTGGGTGGCCAGCAAGTGACCTCTAAAACCACATAGCTATAGGACTGTAACTTGAGGGGGCTTATGGATGTCCTAATCCTTCTGGTGTTTATGGTTTTCCACAGCCAGCTGGGTGGTCATTCAGCATCCACTTAAACTGCTTTATTAAATCATTCATCTGTGTTTCAGAAGTGTCTCCTTGATGAAGAAACCTGAAGCACTCTGGCCCGTCTTGGCCTTCATTAGTTGTACTCTCCGGAGTGCTTGCAGCAACTCTTGATCTCTGAACCTTCTAACCAAACATTCTCTGCAGCACATTTACAGCCACTCACATCTAGATTAGAATTGCACATGTCCACAAATATGGTCTTTCCAAGTTCAGTTTCCAACTTCTGCCACGCTATTGTTTACAGATCCTGTTATTTTAGTCAGGGGACTTGTTGCAGGAAAAGGCTATTGTTGTGTTTTATAGCGAGCTGAAGAGATGTAGCTTGTTGAAGATGTATGAGGCAATCCAGCCTCATCAGACCACCTAGAATGGCATGGAACATCTGAGTCAATGGCACATTTTTCTGGCAGTCACACCATTAACTAGAAAAGAATGTCTGCAAAATCTGTCTGGTGAGGGCAGTATTACATTTTAGAAGTGCAGCTAGAGCAGCAGTGCAGGAGTGGGTTTTGCAAACAAACTTCAGTGGTCCCTCGGGGTCTTTACTCTCTATAACTCTGCCCTTGGTTCATATGTGAAGGAGATTGTCTCTATAAACTAAACTATTCATATAGTGCTTTTCTATGCAATGAATGCTAATGGACTTAAGCAATTGTAATAATACAAAATGGAATAAAATAGGTTGGCTTATATGGGCAATCAATATGGAGGTTTTAATGGCTAAGGTCATTGTGAAGAACGGGATGGAATGTCAATACAAGTGAAACTGCACCTTTATTGCACTATTTTATTGTTTCATTTTATTAAATCTGATTTTTGTTGCAATTAAAACTACAAATACAAGATAGTACACAAGATACATAAAAAATCAAATCAATTTGTTAACTGAAATAATGCATAAGCAATTTTAATGTCAGCTACACTCTCAGACAAATGGTAAAATGTTATACCAAAGAAGGTAAGACAAAAAGACAATTTTTTACCATTGCAGTTTGTACCTTTAAGATTATGATTTGTACCATGGAAAAACAAAATATACTTTTGGTTTTTAAAACCTGCAGACATAATATTTTACCTTCCTCAAAGATTTAAATGTGATTCATGAAGGTACCACTATACAGTGACAAGACACTTTGTACCCTAACAGTGTCAAATATTTTACTTCGAGAACTACTTAAAGGTGTTTTTTTATATCCAAAAAGTATCAATTTATTTTCAGCAAATATAAAACATCAAATAAACTTTTTAACAATAATAAATAATTTAGCATGAATCAAAAGATCTATTTTTGCTAAACATTTTTACAACACCTTTTACAAAAATGTTACAAAAATACAGTACATAATACATTCATACAAGATAAAACTTTTTTTTCTCCAAATTTCACACAATTAAAGTTAATTTAATTTACTTAATTTTGAAATAAAAATAGAGCTATACAAAAGTATTGTGACAAGATATGCACAATGTTTGATTAGTTTTACACTATACTAAAATGTCTGCATGAACACTGTACATATGCAGGACTTTTGCCAGCTCATGTGCGTATTGGAAAGCAAAAGCCAAAAGGTGCGGATATCAATAATTGAACTGTATTTATCAGAAAATGCTTAACAAATGTTTATTAAAAATGCCTTAAATGTTTAGGTTACAATACCTATAGTTTTGTTTTACCAGTTGTTTTGTATTATAGAACTTAACAAGTAATGTTTTTGAGTTTTTTTAAGCATACATGTATGCTTTTAAATAATGATTTGTGTTTTACTATGGAAATTATTCATAAATCACTTTGCCTTTCCAGTGATATTTATTTTTATAGATAATGTAATAAATAATGAGTTGTCCAACACTTATGTACTTTTTTTATAAGAACAATTGTGTATTCTCATTTCAATTGTACCATAAAATGTGCAGAACAGTATCATAAGAGATCTTTTCTGTACCATAACTTTTACAAAGGTACAAAGCTGTTCCTTAAGGAACATTATTTCTATCAACGTGTAACATTTTTTTCCGAGAATGTAGTTAAATATTGTAATTTTTCATTACAAACAATATTTGTTAGCTACAAAATAATATTTAATCTATACAAAGACTATATATATATATATATATATATATATATATACTATACAAGGGAAGATTTAACCAATAAGCAAGGCAAGCGGCTGCTTATGGCCCCAGGAAATCTGAGGGCCCCCAAATAAACACCTAGAAGTATAAATTATACCTAGAAATTATATATAACATAATATTCTATCATATTTGGTATGATGAAGGTCTAAATATATAAGTTGAATGTTTTTTTATTGCAAATGTGCAAATGTGTCCTCCACCGTCAATCATGGAGCAGTCCAGCAGTCAAATCAGGTAAGGATTTTAAGAAAACAAATCATTTAAAATGTTTTACAAGATGCTTTACACGTTGATGTGCATCAAGACATAATGTAGAAAAGGAGATTGAGTGATTATGAGAATAAAAACAGCATAATAAATCAATTGAAAATAAATTTAAGTACAATTTGATTAAATTTAATTTAATTTAATTTTTAGGGCCACAATTGCTTAGGCCCCCCAAATCACTAAATCCGCCCCTGATACTATATATATATATATATATATATATATATATATATATATATATGCATATATATACACACACACACACGCACACACACACAAAATTAAGCCCAAAAAACTATATATAAATGTATCAATGAGTTTAAATTTGTTTTACTAAAGTAAAATGTAAATACTGATGATCAAAAACAACTTTCCTAAATAAACCATTTACCTAACGGAAATGTAAAACAAAAATAAAGGCTTATTTACACCATTAATAAAATACAACAATAACACATCCTCTGAGAACTTGTTAATTTGCCAAACATTGCTAATTTATTCAACTCTCTTCCACATAAAAACACATATTAAAGCACAGTAAATGAAATTCACTCAACTGTAGCTCTCACATAAGTCCAATCATTCCTATTCGTGTTGTTTATTACAGTCTGTATCATTAAATCCAACATTTTCAAACACAAGTCTGTCAATAACATTCAGATGGCCAGTCTTTATATGGACTACCTGTGGACGCCTCCACATTAAAATCAGCGACAGTCCCCGGAATGTTCAAATGACGTCACGGCTTGCTGGAAGTCACGTGGCCCGCTGGCAGGTTTTGATAAGCGTTTGCGAGACGGCCGAGCTGAGCGCATCTCTGAAAGCGTACAGAGAAGAAGATGAGGCACTGCCCTCCCTGAGGGATGTTTATACGTGATGAAGGAATAATAATTCATTTGTCTGATGAAAATGGATGGAAATACATAAAGACATTCTTCCGTCCAGTGATTAACGATCAAAATAACGGTGCGCGTGTCAATGAGCGTGTCCTCAGAATCGTCGTCCTACTGAAAACAGTGAGTGTTCATTGCTCATATCTATTTAATGCTTACGGACATTTATACGCCTTCTTAGAGATTAAAAATGTGCAATTGTGTTTGGAGGTGATCCATTTGATGCATTTCAAAGCAATATGCTTTATTAATATTTACAAATAACCGGCATTGGAGTGACTGCTGTCATCGCGCGTTGACAATTGTGCGCTTGTTTTGATCCTGGTCGTGTATTTACACTCCATGTGACGATCTCTCACACGGTATTATTGTGAAGCTCGTTTAAAATGTTTTTGTTTATGTAATTCAGCATTCGAGACATCCAGTTTTAATACATCGTGGCCCTTATGATTTACGAGTTATTGTATGACTGACCCAGCCCAGCTGTCTGGATGCAGTATCATCTTCATATGTATTTCACCATGTTCTCTCGTTTGTTTTTAAGTGCAATGTTTCATCATTGCTGGTACCTACAATAAAAAAGGCATCACTTCCAATGCCCAACTGGTGTGATGTGTGGTTTGCAGAGCCATAACCACCATAAACATTGAATTATATGAATTACTTATGTGTAAATGTTGTAAGATTGATTGGTAAATTGGTACAATTTGTCCTTCCAGTTCTGAACATGTGGGTTAAATCCTTGTGTATACGCAACAAGGTGACAAAGTTACGAAGACCGAGATTAATTCCTTTCATCTGATGTGATAATGTTATGGTTGGTTGTTCGTAATTAACCTGGCAGAACAATCTATGAAAAATTTGCCAAGGTGTTTCAGAGAGGTTATGGAGGATTACAGAAAGCATCCTTCATGTGGTGATTGAGCCATGATCCTGGATTTAGAGTCGGTTGTGATTTAAATCTGATTTAAGATGAATCTGAAATGATGTATTAAGCATACTTTTTATGTTAAACTGTGATATTTGCTGCTAACCTTTAGAAACAGAAGCATGAATATGATTTTTAAGTTTGACCTATTTCACCAGTCTTTTGCTTGTGGTAATTTTTTAGCTGTATATTGGATGATTTAAGGGCTAGTTCACCCAAATATTGAATTAGCTTTTAATTTACTCATCGTTAGACCATACCAGATTACTGGGTTACTTTTGGCCCTCAGTAGAACCAAAAAGAGAAAGAAGATTTTACATTAAAACCGTGGTTCTTGGTAATTCTTAAAATATAATACATTTTATATAGATGAATATACAAATACGGATATACAGACAAAACAAACTAAACGCAAATGTCTCTTTGTGATCCCTTTAAGTCTAACTAAACAGTCCATGTTTGTCCAACTTCAGTAATGGATGCCTTGGACTTAGCTGGGTGTTCCTTTACATTGCATCATGATATTGCAGTAAATGTTACGTTAATGTGAACCGTCTGTTGGGACATTTTGACTAACGAGAGTCTTGTTGCTTTTTGTCTTCTTGTCCACTTTGGGAAGGGGCAGAAATTGTTTTGAGGCTCTGGGCATTTGCCAGAATTGGTCCGTATGACATCAGGTTGTGTAAAATGCATAACTTTAAATCTTTAAATCTTTAAATGCTTATTGAATCAGAACAGTACAGTAAAAGAGAAGAATGTACCTTGGTAAAGTCTCCTGACAAAACATTTCCACATAGAAATAGCTTGCCATGCCTCCTCCTATCCAAAGTATGCAGATGTCTGCTTGTTTCCCGGCATGGTGCAAAGGAATCAAATGTCCGCCCTGAGTCTTAAGCAGGACCAGATGCTCGGCCAAATGTGCTGCATTAGTTCCCTGTGCTTGTGTTTTCCTCCAGGCCTCCCTGCTGTCCCAGAACTGTGCAGTATCAGGAGCCTGTTGGTCCATGGAGCCCTCGCTCAGGACCGCAGCTTCAGCACAGCTGGATAAGATCATGCTTATTTTTACGGGCAGGCTGTTAAATTGGCTTATCCTGTGGCTCCTACACGCCACAGGTTGGTGAAAGAAGGGCACGACTTATCGTGTCAAGCATGTCTCCTACAGCAGCACTGAGATAAACTTATTAGAAAATAGGATGCTGCGCATGGTTTGTTTAGTACAAGATGTTTTCCCTGATATAATGAGTCATGTTAAGCTACGCACTCAGTGGTAAAGAGGTTTGGTGTAAATCAGGGGTGTCAGACTCATTTTAGGTCAAGGCCCAAATTGGGGAAAACGTCACATGAGAGCTGTTTTTCATTCTTAATAATGTATGCACTGATTTAAACGTCTGTGAAATCTGCAGTAAAACAGACTTTTCTATAAGCTGATGTAAATATTAATATATTGAAGGTACCAATCAATTAACATACACACATAACTTGCTTCAATTTCAAAACACAACACAGTGCACAGCCTTATCTCATAAGGACATATAACTATTTTATGTTTTGTAGGTCTAAAAGTTCATTCATTCATTTTCTTGTCGGCTTAGTCCCTTTATCAATCTGGGGTCGCCACAGCGGAACAAACTGCCAACTTATTCAGCACATTTTTACGCAGCGTATACCCTTCCAGCCACAAACCATCTCTGGGAAACATCCACAAACACTCATTCACACACTACGGACAATTTAGCCTACCCAATTCACCTGTACCGCATGTCTTTGGACTGTGGGGGAAACCGGAGCACCCGGAAGAAACCCACGCGAACACAGGGAGAACATGCAAACTCCACACAGAAACGCCAACTGAGCCGAGGATCGAACCAGTGACCTTCTTGCTGTGAGGCAACAGCACTACCTGTGCAGCACTGCGCTTCGCCGTGAATTAAACAGGTTTTGAAAAAAAAAATTGAATTGGCGTGAGAAAACCTTGATGCATATGCATAATTACCTTCAAAATGAAGGTAAAATGTGTAAAAAATCATTTAAAAATTGGTAAATTCCTTCAGATTAATATACATTTTCTTAGTGTGCACATAAATACAAAAAGCATCAAGGTGATAAACAACACAGAAATAATGCCAACAAGTAATTTGGTGCCATAGGATGAAACCTTAATAGCTAATAGCAAACAACTAAGATGAAAAAAAAAAAAAAAAAAAAATTTTATATATATATATATATATATATATATATATATATATATATTTTTTTTTTTTTATATTATATATTATATATATTATATTATATATATAAATAATTAAAAAATCATCAGTTCTGAGCTGTAAAAAAGGGGATACTGCGTTAAATTATAAGAAACAAATTAACTTAACCTGACTCAAGTTGAAACTTGTATGTTTAATAAATTAAGTAGAAATGCAGTTAATCTTGAGGTAATTCTGGAAATGATTATGATTTGTAAATGTAAATTAAAAGATGACCCATTTTTATATAGAAACCTGTACAATTATTTGAAATATCTTTTAAGATGTATTTTCATATAATTTACATGCTTATCTTAAATGTATGACAATAATGATCATGTTATAATAATATTAAAATATAATTTAATCATATAATGTAGGTATCTATATTATTTTATGTTATTTATTACTAATGCACAACACATACTCTTGGATCATTTGATGATGATTTAATAATAATATTCAGCAATCAAAAAACCAATGGATGTATATGAAGAGTTCAGATGCAAAAACCTCCAAGTGCCGTCTGAACTTTTATTCTAAAATGAGCCTTTTTTGAGACTCCTATATTTATGTTCACTAATTTCACATTAAAGACAATAAAAATAACATATTAATTGACGTAAACGAAAATTGCTTAAAATTATAAATTTTAGGGGAAAATTTCAGATGGTTTTTGCGTCTGACCTCTTCATGTGTTGTTTAGTGCTTAAAAAATCATGCATGTTTACATGTTTGAACAATACATTTAACATCTTCTATGCAGCATTTTTCTAGATTTATGTCATGTAATAATATAATAAAATGTTTCTCCTTCTTTTTATAATGGAGCAGTACATTGTGTTCTGGTCCTCCTAAATCACATCACAGGACACAGTCTCACGATGCTCAGATTTATGTCCATTGTGTGAGGCTGGTTTCTTATTCTGAGGCGTCACTCTGTTGCGTCGTGCCTTCTGTGCCGTGTGTACTGGTACTATCTGGTCATTTACACTGGAAAAGGGAACCATTGATCTCTTACTCCGGTGCATTGGAATGATGAATCTGAAGTCGGTCAGAGATGAGAGAAGTAAAGGAGTTCCTCATTTCTGGGTTGCTGCAGTTTTCGTATATGGGTGCAAGGATTTCCGCTGCGTAGGACTCATGCTGATTTTTCTGATGAAATAAACATTTACAACGCACTTCCGGACAATTTTTGAGTCTCTCTTTGACGTTACCATGGAGTTTCTCAATAAAGGAGTGACTTCCTATTAGTTGTCTGAAGAAAAGTGTTGAGTCAGTGCAAGAGTGTCTGTAATTGCATCACATAACAATGAAATGTGCCTGAAGGCTTTTCAGTCTGCGATGTGCCTGACTATAATAATGGTATAATTCTCAGCAATTACATTCATATTTGACTTGATTTTATCCTTAACCTGTCTCTAAAGTTACGCTTGGTCTTCCTTTCCTCCCCAGCAATTGTTATTTAAATGATGCGATTGCGATGCCCTCATTATCTCTGTCAAAAGAGACAGCTTTCTGCTTATCCGTGACTCATGTTTATTAGTTTTATGTAAGTATTTTCTCTCCCCCTTACGTTTTTAAGGCGAATGATGAATATTCGCTGGCTTTTCTTCATGGTTGCCATGGTGAGGATTATAATTTCTCTGTGCTGATGGTAGAGAGGGCACAGCCAGCCTCTGCGGATGGCGTGGTTGTTGGACCGAGAGATTATGTCTATATATAATCCTAAATCTCTCACGTAACATGTGACACATCTGCTGCATTTTTCCCCTCGCTGCGACTTTCTGTGGGGTCTCAAAAATGCGAGTGTGATTATATCTTGACTGATGTTTTATTGTTTACGCAAGTGGATGGATTGATTAGCGTTTGCACTGCATTGTGGTGTTTTTGAGCATGCTTGATATATGAAAATGGCTGTAGAAGAAACACCTGGAACAAAATATGCATGAGCCTCTTTGTTTTTGCTGGTCATGGGGCACAGAGAGAGAGAGAGAGTGTCCTAGAGACCCCTCCTTCAAATCTTTAAGGTTTATGAGGATGAGAAGGATTAGAGTTTTAAGGCTTGTATTTATTTTTGGCATCAAACTGTGATCGTGAAACCTATCGAAGACTTGTTATCATTTTCTAAATATATGAAAGACACAGCAACTTCTGCTTTTGTGTGTCATGAGCGTCACTGGTTCCTCATAAGATGAACTTCATCACTTCAACACTTTGCAAAAGAACTAGTCAGTAGGTCAGTTTCAATTCCTAAGCTCTTAAGCCGTGTCCCGTGACTGTTGGCCATTACTGTAAATCACAGAGGAGCCATTGGCCATAAAGCTGAAAGCCATCAAAGACCTTTCAGATGATGTCTGGTCCGCTGTAATGACAATGGTTCTGCATATTTCTCACAGTTTTAGTCTCCTGATTTGGTTCACTTTAGTACTTGTGCGGTGAAATAGTATTGTTGACTGGGTGATATAGCTAAAATTAAATCTCGATAATTATTTTTCATATTGAATTATAAGGATGTATATTTCATTTTTAATATAAATTGTTAATGCTTCCATATTTAAAAGAGGACCCCAACAATAACTGAAGCACACAAAAATTTGGGGGGCCAATTAACGGCATAACATCTTTTCTGCCAATAAATTTTCGGTGGCTGAAAATGTGTTGCATCTCTACTATCGAGACACTTTTAGATTCCTATTGTCCAGAAAAGTTTAGAGCTGATTGTTGTTATTAACATAAATTTTATCACGATTCGGTATTGTATCGTTTATTGGCCCAGCCCTAATGGTTGAGATTTACAATACTGAATCTACAATAAGTAAAGGGCAGAATAACTGTTGTTTATTTATAATGGAACATTACCTATATATTAACATTTATTTTCACAAAAGTCTTTTGAAATTGTTGTAATTTATTTGAAAAGGGCATTCAAAGGACTGTCATAAAACCTTTATAAACAGGATATGACATGTTTCGTAAATATATGAGATGAGATTTTTCTACATGACAACTGCCATTAAGTCACATTCGCTCAATTCCGTCATTTTAAATGCAAAGGTGACATTGTTTGAGATGTCTTTGTCATGGCAACTTGACATTATCAAATAAATCATAGCCTCTCAGCTTATGATGTACCTTTGTCACGACAACTTGACATTACCAATCAAAACAACATAACTTGTCATGAGGCCATTATAATTGTCATGAACTGTATAACAGTGTCATTACAACTACAGTGGTCATTAAAATGTCATTAAATATTATTGTTCCTGTTATAAAATTATTTGACGAAGCATTAACACTTTTAATCAAAGTTATAATGACAAATTCAGTTTGTTCCACAAACAAAATCACATAATAACATTGGGCTTATGACAGTCATGTTTATGAAAGATTTATGACAAGCTATGTTGTCTTGGTAATTTCAAGTCAAAATCTTAAACAATGTCACCTTTGCATTAAAACGATATAAATGAGTGAATGATACCTAATGATAGTGTTGTCATAAGCATGCATAAAATCTTATTCATATTCATGAGTTTTCATGTCATAATTATAAATGTGTTATGACACCTATTTGGTATCGATTCAGTAATAGATCATAACCGGTTATTACGTACTGATGTCATTCATCTCATTACTATGGTGAGGGAGGCGAGCGTGAGTAATTAAAACACTCCAACTACCTAATGCAGAAACTGCACAATTCACTGCTTGTGACTTAGCTAGACAGTCTTTTGCTGACACTGAAGTTACAGCAGAAGCCCTGCGAATTTTCGCCACCGCGTAGATATCATGGATCAGCTGTAATCACTACTGATCAGTGTCACACATCGGTAAACATCGCTAGAACGTTAGAGCCAATCACAGCCCTTTCTGTTGAGCGCATGACCTGATCATATGTGTGTAAAAACTTGCTCGACAAGGCTCAGAAAGTGAACAGGATATTTACATTTGTTTATTTGTTATACATGCTCATTTTGTTCTCTGCATGTGCTTGAGTTTTTAAAGGTACAGTTCATACACTGACTGTTGACAAATTGCGTTGCAAATAATATATACATGTTTTTTTATAAATTTTAATACAAGAATTATTGTGCTGTGAAGAAAAATATAAAATTGTGTATGGAAAGCATCATCAATGCACCCTGATGCACCGAGATATCGAATTGAACCAATTCGATGGCATGATAATCGTAATCAAAGTGTACCGTGAGACTGTATAGGTTTACACTTCTGTTGACACCCCCTTCAAGTAAATTGACAGAAGCATTAAGAATTCAGTTATTACACCATTAGTGACAACATTAATAAATATTAGAAATGTTAGTAGTAATGACTGCTGAAATAATATAAATAAGTTTACTTGGAAAAACGTAATTACAAATTTTTTTACTGCATTCATTATGTTATATTATACAAGAACCATTGTACCTCCCGATGGGGTGAGTTGAAGTTGAATAACTGTTGTTTATTTAGCCTGTCTATCAGTGATTTGTTGGGACTGAATGACCCGTACAGAAAGATAAAGCTGAACCTGCTACCTACCAGCGGGTACCCAGCTATTTTTGGTACGTCGAAGCCATGTGAGCGTCAGTCACCCAGACTGACTCAGAAGCACTACATGTGCCAACTTGAGTGTTGTAAAAGCCCCAGGCCTCTTCTGAAAGAGAGGGGAGTCTCTAATTAGGATATCAGTGGTTTTAGTGTTAGAAAGGCTTATAGTGACAGCCTTGGCATTGACGCAAGCAAAAGGAATTCCCTTTTTAGTACATTCTTTCCCTCTTCCATTTTGTGCACTTATTCTGCAGGTACAAACAGTATGAGTCATGATTCAAAGGCATATATCCCCGGCAGGAATGGGTAATTGCATCCGTTTGTCCAGTTTATATTTCTCACTGAGATTGTTACATGTGGTTGTACTCTGCATCTGTGAAGGTATAATGCTCATATCCTTTTTCTAAGCACATAAGGGACCAAAATGTAACCAGAGTTAAAATGATATGTCCTGAGAGCGTTGTATAACCGTGCCGAAATGTGCTGATTTGTTTCTTAAAATCCCTGCCGGTTTAAAGAAGGATGTTTTCATTTGTGTCAGAGCACCTGGCATTATTAAGCAACACTGTTTACTAGCCTACAGCATGTCATGATTTCCTCCCCCGTTCACATTACTCTGTTTTTTTTTCCCCCCAGCACATACAGTCCTCGTTCTATGGGGATGATCGAAGATGGAGGAAAAAAGCCTTCGTGTAGCAGACTACTTTGTGGTGGCAGGACTCACCGTCTCTTCAAAGCCCCTGGAGGAAGATGTTCACCCTGAAGATGGAGCTCACCGAAGCTCAGCTCAACTCAAGGCACCGATCACTGATGTGGCAGTGGTGATTCGCTCTCTAGGGGAGGAAGTACCTAGAGGGTATACCTGTGTTGAATGCACCCCCTCCGGACTCCCTGCTGAACTGAATGGAGGAAGCCTCATGGGGCCGCAGATCTTCCTGTGCTATAGGAGAGGCAGAGATAAACCACCGCTCACCGATCTGGGGTAAGGAGTCTGTGGCTGATTTCACACCTGACTCATTGTATTGGAACCTGGTGTGCTGAGGCCAATGTGAACATGGCAGTTGCGCTCAAATCTGCACCATAACAATTGGCCTGAGATAAGCTGAATGAGGTGTTTGTTATCTTGCTTCTTGAAAACAATCTCTTGCACTTTTGTGATTTACCGCTTTAAGTTTTTAATTTCTATGTATTATGACTCAGCTGAAAACAATTCTAAAAACATCCAAAAACATAATTCATATTAGGAAAAGAGAATGCAGATAGCTGTAGTATTAAAGCCTGGTTTATACTTCTGCGTCAAGTGACCGGCGTAACTCACGGCGCAGGCAACGCGCGCAGCTGTGCATTTATACTTCTGCGCGCTGTCTCTGTTGGTCTGCATTAACACTTCCGAAACGCTAGTGGGCAGTGAGGTGTAACATTTCCTCTGTGTCGAGTTTCTTCACTTCTGTTTTGCTTTTCTGAACACTTCCTGGATGTACAAGTGACTCAAACTCGCTCATTTTGAAGCAGGAACCTGCGGACGTGCAACAACTTTAACCATGAGGTAAGCACAGAACAAAACTTTCCATCCGGAGCTCCTTCACGGGACTCCACACTTGTAAACAATCGCTCGCCAAACTCGTCGGCGCTACCAAGCCGACCAATCACAGAGCTTGCGCTACGCGTTGTTGCGACGTGTAGTTACATTTTTTGAGAGGTGCACGTCAACGACGGCAACGGCGAAGGGCTATGCATCAGCGCCGTAGCATCCGCCGGCTTTTGACGCAGAAGTATAAATCAGCCTTAACTATGCTAGCATTCTCAGTTCTCACCATTGCAAAATAGCATTCTGTTTATTGCAAGTGTGGTGTGCTGGAGTTTTGTATTTTGTTGCTTTAAAATTAAATGTATTAAATCTGAGGTTCGATTTGCTGCAGTTTTTTTTATTGTTCATCAGCTGTAAATCTTGTGATGACATTGAAAAAGGGATTTTAAGCAATATTGTTAATCAATTATTATTATCATTATTACTCTGACGTTGTGTCGTGGATTTCCCTATGCTCATGCAGTTGTTATTAAACAATAATTACAACTTCATGGTTATAGTCATCGTTCTATTGCCTGTTCAGTCAGATAGATCAATTTAAGTCATTTCTAGAGGAATCTGTGCAAGATTCCAAACGGATTTCCTCATTTTCTCTACAGACAATAGGAAATATGCTTGTTTGGCCAATAATTTTTACTGGCATTTTGTTAATATGACCAGATAAATAAACAAAGCCTCTAAATAGCTAAATAGTAGCTAACAATCTTTTATACTTTTTCTTAGATTATGTTGTCCATAAATCTACCGCATTCTTTTCAATTCGAGAACAATCGCAAAAACAACTGAATAGATCATTTTATATGATATTCTTATTAGCAACATCATAACTTTCAGTCCAGTTGGATCCAGATGTAAGTGAGTCATGCTTTTTATAAAAATAGTGAAATGGATGTTTATGGAACTGCTGCTTACTGAAAAAAAACATTCATTAAAGATAAGTAGTTGCAAAATTTATATAGGCTGAATTTAAACAAACAAATGAAATGTAGTCATTTGCAACTTCATATGTTTGTTTAAATTTAGCTATTTGTAAATTTTTTGTAACCACTTACCCTAAAAAATAGGTAAGGCAGTGAATCATTTTTTTTTTTTTGTGTATATATAAGGTGTTACTAATCCATGACCATTTAGTATGCTGTCTTTAAAGGTAGCTACTATCTAGACAGATGTCCACATTGCAGCTGCAGTGTTTTGCAATCTGTGTTGTAATAATTGTTTTGCACAGGCATTCAACATCCTCATATGTTTTCTTTCATCATTCTTAGCATCCTCTATGAGTGGAAGGAGAAACTGAAGCCAGACTGTCAGATTATTCAGACTACACCCTCCGGACGCCCTGCTAACATCAGTGGCTCCTCCTCTCAGAGGATCTACATCACATATCGACGCGCCGCGGAGAATCACTCTCACGCCACGCTGGCTGTCACAGACATCTGTGTCATTATTCCCGGCAAGGGAGAGACTCCACCACATGCCTTTTGCAAGGTGGACAAAAACCTTAACAGCAGTATGGTGAGCACAACAGTCATCCTACCCTGCAGAAAATATCAATTTAGTTGGTGAAACACTTGCCAGTAAAAATTTGCTGAAATTATTATTATTTTTTTTACTGTAGCTTTTACATTTTCATGTTTTTATGCTTATAAATTAATCTTTTCATCAAAATTACAATTCTAAAAATTAATATTTCTATCATATTTCTTACTGTACATTAAATATGATTCTTAAATTCAATTGTAGCATTTAAAGAAATTGATTTAATATTGTATTTTATTTTAATAAATATTATAGAATTCTATAGACCTCCACGGATGAAGTTACACTAACACAATGAACAATATTTCTACAGTGTTTATTAATCTTAGCTAAGGCCAACAGTATAATCTATTAATTCATTTTTTAGGGCCAAAGGTTTACATTAAGGCATTATGAAACTTTTTCTACATTTTTTTAAACTAAATAATCCCAAACATATCCAATCCCTTATAAATCAAGTCTTATAATTCTTTTCCATAGTTGTGTGTGTATGTGTGTTTGTATAGTACAAAAACCATATTGTAAAGTGCTTACAGAATTGAACCATTTATCTTTTATCGGTAATACTTTACAATAAGGTTCATTAGTTAATGCATTTACTAACATGAACTAATCATGAACAACACATGTACAGCATTTATTAATCATAATTAAACATTTACTAATGTACTATTGACATCCAAGTCCATGCTTGTTACCATTAGTTAATGCACCATGAGTTAACATGAAGTAACAATGAACTACAGTATTTTCATTAACTAACGTTAACTAACATAAACAAATACAGTACTAAATGTATTGTTCATTGTTTGTTGATGTTAGTAAATGCATTAATTAACATTAACTAATGAACCTTTTTGTAAAGTGTGACCCTTTTATCTTATCATTAGTGGCACGTGTAATACTTGTACTCCTCTGTGTAAAATATTTTAGTCTGGTGGTAAAGCAGACATTACGGGATTTTGAAAAATAAAACAAGATCACAATAAGCCTCCTTTTACGTATTTTACATTTACATGTCATTTCTTTTTTTTACAGTGGGGGTCTTCTGTGTACTTGTGCTACAAAAAATCTCTGGCCAAAACCAACACACTTGCATTCAAAGCAGGTACTGTATCTCAGTCTTCAGTTGTTTTTGACGGTTTGTGTTTTGTTGTGCATTTCGCAATGAGCAGCAGGAGGGACAGAATGCGTTAGCGAGAAGCCCATCATAGCAGTGGGATGCGATTGCGGATGAGGAAACCTGATACTCCCATGTAGCACGAACAACATGATGTCATTGTTAATCTTGGCGCTCACAGAATTTAGCACCAAACATATTCACGCTTTAACCACTGCATACGCTTATCTTCTCATGTGGAAGTCTGGGTCAAGTCATTAATTATAGCCTAGGCGATTGCAGTGATCAGTATTAATTGTCTTGAATACAGCCTAATTGATGGTTTGAATGGTGTGTGCAGGTCTTTTGTCCAGATACCCAGAGGAGGACTACGATTCCTTTCCTTTGCCTGAATCCGTGCCCTTGTTTTGCCTGCCGATGGGAGCGTCCATCGAGTGCTGGTCCTCTCACACCAAATATTCTCTTCCGGTCTTTTCAACATTCGTTCTCACAGGCGCCTCTGGAGAAAAGGTATCCACGCACGAGCAAACGCAAACACACGTTCTTCTCACCGCAGCTCCATCATTCTTTGAGAAAATCAGACACAGTGGAAAGCGAATTGTCTTGTCTGCTTAAGCGATGTGCAAAGAATTTAAAGCAGCTACAAAATCGGTGCGGGCGGAAAATCAAAAACGCCAGTGAATAATGGGCCCCCGGAAAAGAATTGAAAATAAGATGAGCACATATAATTGGCCTGTTTAATAATGCATCGCTAAAGTGCTGTTTGGGTCAGCTCAATTATGTCAAACACATCAGTACACTCGACTCACTCTCCTCTCAGCCCAGCAACTCTCAAGGCTATTTGTGCTGCAGCATTGTATAATTTATTCACCTAGGTGAGCGGCTTCAAAGAAACATGGCTACGCTGGGATATTTCTGGTCTAAAAGACAGCAAAAATAAAGCTGTGGATCGGTTTCTCACTGGGTTCATCTAAGGAAAGCAAGTCTTGAAATAGAAACTGATGATGATTCATTTTAAGTAGACTAAAATAGCCGCTATTGTGCATTTTAGTAATGTTATAACCTCATGTGTTCTTTAAAATGTAAACCAACCTAATTCCTAGAAAGTATTCATAAGTATATTTTGTGCTTTTAGGTTTATGGTTCTGCCATATAGTTCTATGAGAGCACCATTTTCAGATAAATAATTGTAAATAATAAATATTTACAAAATATTTATTCATTCATTCATTCATTCATTTTCTTGTCAGCTTAGTCCATTTATTAATCGAGGGTCGCCACAGCGGAATGAACCGCCACAAAATATTTATATTCAAATATAAATATATTTAATATAAATGGTTATATATTTTATATACAAATAAAAAATTTTTAAATAATAAATAAATAATCTTACGCCATTCTGAAAATGAAAATCCTCATTTCATTCTGTACATTAAATGCGACGCTCACCGTAAATTCACTTGTTGCAAGCAATTCAAGGTTGAAGTTTGTATTTTTAGGTGGTTCATTCTGCTGTGGTGACCCCTGATAAATAAGGGACTAAGCCGAAGGAAAATGAATGAATGAATGAATGAATGGATGTATTTTTTCTTTTATTTTAAATTTACAGTACAGCATTTTTTGTTTGTAATATTAGTTAATTACATTACATCAGTTAATTAGTTAACATAAGTTAATCACAATGAATAATAATTTTACATCTCTTTTAATCTTAATAATGGCAAAATAAGAATTTATTCATTCATTTTCTAAGATCAAATGTTTACATTAATGCTCTGTGAAAGCTTTTATAAATTTTAACTAAATAACTTAAAATCAAGTGGGATATTTCTGATCTAAAAGATATAAAAAATAAATCTTCCATATCAGATTCTCACTGGACACATCTGATGAAAGAAAGTCTTGAAATAGGTGCTGATGATGATTCCTTTTAAGTAGACAAAAATAGCCAGCGTTGTGTATTTTAGTAAGTTTTAACCTTATGCACATATCAAGAGAATTTTTTTTGTTCTATAAAATGTAAACCAACCTAATTCCTAGTAGGTATTCATGAGGATATTTTGTGCTTTTAGGTTTATGGTGCTGCCATTTAGTTCTGTGAGGCGATAAATATTTGAATGTAATCTTTAGCCATTCTAAAAATGAATATCCACATTTCATACTGTGTATTAAATGCAATGCCTTAATTCTCTTGTAGCAATTAAAGCAATTGATTTAGGTTAGTATTTTTAAAATATATTTTGAAATAATAATATAGAGTTTTGCTAACACTATAGAAAAAGCTTTCATTTGTTACATTAGTAATCTACATTACATTAGTTAATTAGTTAACATTACTTTCTACAGTTTTCCCAGTACCGGGGTGCAGCTGGAATGGCATCTGGTGTGTAAAACATATGCTGGATAAGTTGACATTTCCACTGTGATGACTTCTGATGAATAAAGGGACTAAGCTAAAAGAAAATGAATGAATAAATATTTCTACAGTCTTTTTTAATCTTAATAAATGCCAAAGTAAGAATTTATTAATTAATTTTCTAAGATCAAACATTTAAAAATAAATCTTCCATATCAGATTCTCACTGGACACATCTGAGAAAAGCACGTCTTAAAATAGATACAGATGATGATTCCTTTTAAGTAGGCTAAATTAGTCACCATTGTGCATTTTAGTAAAGTTCCAACATCATGTTGTTGTTGTTGTTGTTGTTGTTGTTTTTGAAAATATAAATTAACCTAATTTCTAGTAGGTATTCATGAGTATATTTTATGCTTTTTAGGTTTATGGTGCTGCCATACAGTTTTATGAGCCCTACCCAGAAGAGCATTTGACTGAAAAGCAGAGATCTCAGCTGGGACTTCAGGCTAACGGAATCAGGCCTGACGGATCCATGACTGTCCACACCAACAAAAGCATCTGCCTTCTCTCTCACTGGCCCTTTTTCGATGCTTTTCGTAACTTTTTGACCTTCCTCTATAGATACTCCATCTCAGGTCCACACACTCTACCCATTGAAAAGTGAGTTGTGGGGACAATTTTGAAGGTTGCTTGTGTAAAAAACATGTTGCATCCACTTTACAGTTACTTACTAAAATTTCCCCTCCCACAGGCATATTTCTCATTTCATGCACAAGGTTCCCTTTCCCTCCTCTCAAAGGCCACGTATCCTGGTGCAGGTGAGTCTGGTGCACGTCATGTCTTGCTTCAAGCTCTGTTTTTTTTTTAAAGTGTCAAAACAAATGACATTGTTTGGTCAAATAGCTTCAAACCTGGCCCTCGTCTCGTTGTGACCGCGTGTTTGTGTGCTTGTTTTTCACAGCTGTCTCCACATGATAGCCTGATGCTGAGCCAGCCCGTTTCCTCTCCTCTCCCTCTGAGGTAAGTCCGACACAAGATACACTGACCATGTTGGATGAATGCTGATCAGAGCATGATGTGATACTTTAGCAGCACCTGGTTAAGTAATAACTTGGTAGAGTTTTAATATGAGTTGTGACTCCTCATGCATTTGTTTTGCTTGTTTAAGGTTAATATGCCAATATTTAAAACTAAATCTTAATATCCATGCAAACAGATTTTCTGACATTTCAAGAGTTCACACTTAGCTGATAATCGATTATAAAGCTTGATTGGCATGCTGTCCCAGGAGAGAGCCCTGAGCTCTTAAGATCCTCGAGCCTGGGGCTCCCTCCCATCTATAAGGCAAGAGGGGAGTTTGAGCTCTGGTATATCTCAAGAACTCCCCTGCTGTAGTAGCTAATGAACAGATAGTGATTGCTCTTAAGAGATAACTACTTACTAGGAGCATGTCTATAGTGCCGATTTTGATTAGTCAGTTAACGTAAGTGGCATGTTTTTGTACAGTGGGAGGAAACCGGGGGAAACCCCTGTGAGCACGGGGAGAACATGTAAACTCCACACAGAAATGTCAGCTTGGTAAAGACTAGAACCAGAGGCATTCTTGCAGTGAGGCAAAAGTGCTAACCACTGGGCCAGGAGGAGTAGGGGTGGAAGGGGGGATTCTTCAAAACGAAAATGGCTGTTATATGAAACTTAGTTTGCGTTTCAGTGGTTTGAAAAGTGATTTGTTGTTTGTTATTGATTTTTTTTGTTTGGTTTGGTTTGGGTTTGTGATATCCTGTGTAGTTTGGGTTTGGTTTGTTTTTTGGTGGTTTGTTTTATTGTTGTTTTGTTTTTTGGACTGGGGTGTTTTTTTGTGTTTTTGTTTTATTGAGTTTTTTTTTTGTGTTTCATTTGTTTAGATTTGTTTAGATTCTTGTTTGTTTTGGTTGTTTATTTTTGTTTATTTTAATTTATTATATTAAGTTGTTTTAATTATATAAGTTTTGTTTAATTGGTAAATTGTTTTGTTTTTGTTTGGTTTTGTCTTGTGTGTTCATTGATTTGATGGGTGTTGATGTTTTTTGTTTGGCAGTTTGGCAGTTTTTTGTGTGTATTTTTTTTGTTTGGTTTGTTTTTTTGGTGTTTTTTATTGTTTTGTTAGGTTTTTGTTTTGGACTGGTATATTTTTGTGTTTTTGTTTTATTTAGTTTTTTGTTGGTTTAGATTCTTAAATGCTTTAGTTGTTTGTTTTGTTTTAGACTCATTATGTTTTTTTTATTAAGTTTTGTTTAATTGGTAAATTGTTTTGTGTTTAATTGGTTGGATAGGTGTAGATGTTTTTGTTGTTTGTTTATTGATAAGGAAGTAGTTTGGCTGTTTTTTGTTGTGTTTTGTTTTGGTTTGTTTTGTTTTATTGTTTTGTTTGTTTTTTGTTTTGGACTGACATGTTTTTTCTTTTAGTTTTTTTGTGTTAAGTTTGTTTAAATTAGTTTGGATTGTTGTTTGGTTTGGTCGTTTATTTTTGATTTTATCTGTTTTGTTTTTTTTTGTACTTTTTTTTATTAATGTTTTTTTCATGAAGTTTTGTTTAATTAGTAAATATAATGTTGCATGGGTGTGTGTGTGTTTACATTCATATTTTCGTTTTCCATAGTGGAGGAAGACTCTCTACATTGCTATTGAATCTTGGCCCTAAGAATGCAGCAACTCTATTGGTTTTAGCTGTGACCGAACACAAGATCCTGGTGCACTCCTTACGTCCAGCTGTTCTAACCAGTGTCACCGAGGCCCTGGTATCGGTAAGTGGAAGACCTGATTTTTCATTCAAGTTTCTTCATTACTACTTTTGTCATTCTTTTGTTTTCTATTTTCCCCTTTACCTCATGTCTCTACTTGTTTTTACCTGTCCTGCAGATGATTTTCCCCTTCCACTGGCCGTGCCCATACATTCCTCTCTGCCCGCTGGCCCTGGCAGATGTGCTCAGTGCTCCATGCCCTTTCATTGTTGGTGTGGACTCGCGGTACTTTGACCTCTATGAGCCACCGACGGACATAAGCTGTGTGGACCTGGACACAAACACTATAACTCAGTGAGTGACCTTTTGACTTATACATACTTCTGAATTCCCAAGAGACTCTGTCCTGACTTTTGATCTACAGAATTGCACTAAAGTCATCTTTTACCACATAAATTCCCCAAATAAACAGTAATTTCCACATACAGGTGATGATTAGTGTCTTTCGCACTGTATTATGTTTCAATTATGTTTCATGTCTCAAGAGACTCTTCGCAATAGCAAATATTTTTTGAGTGAAATTCTCAGTTACAGTGATCTTAATCTTCATGCAGATGTTTAAAAGATCAGGATAGAGATATATGAGCAGTGTGGAATGTCATAGTAAAGATAGGCTCTCAGTACCACCATGTGTTGAACACATGCTCTTGTGTTGTTTGTGTCATTATGCACCTAAAAGTTTGCAGACGTCGTAAAAGCTATATCAAAACTGTAAAGCTGTTGTTCACGGGCTTGGACCCGCTTTTCCGTTTGCTGTTTACTCTCTAAAATGATCAACATCTGTGACCTATTTCAGCAAAGAAGAGCGCAGATCCCTGACCTGGAAGATCCTGCCAAGAAAAGCCTGTAAACATCTGATCAACACCCTCAGCAATCTCCACCAGCAACTGGATGAGGGTTAGTGAGGCCAGGTCACAGTGGTGTTAACTGAGAAATGATTTCATTTGTCTGTCCCTTCGAGGGCGATATTAGTTCACTCGACTGCACACTTTAAATGGCCTTCCACTGTCCTTTTTGGTCTATGACAGTATCATTTTTATTACCTAACAATGTTTTATGAATGCTCGAGTGGGTCAGAGCAAAATGCAGTCATCCTTGAGATGTGATGAGATTTAGAGATGGGGTCAACAGGCTGGAGAAAGGCAGAGCAAGACACAGGTCTCTTATTTTTGAGTGCTTGGATATTATCTGATACCTGAGAGCTGATTGATGCTTTGGTTTTTGAACCAGACTTTGAACCCAATTATTAATGTGTTTTTGGTTCTTTAAAATGCCCTGTATGGAATGTACCATCTCGTAGAATCAGGCTTAAAGAGTTATTTACAGGGAAGCATGATGCATTTTTCTGTGATAAGTGATAGTGTTTCCATATGTTTTATGGAGAACATTATGTGTCTATTGATGGGGATGTTCAAAAACAGCCAGAGCCTATGGTCTTTTTTCTGACCTTTTAGAAGTAATGTGAGAGGAGCTTATATAATACACCATATCTCAAACTGAGCCTACTATATCTTCGTTACTGAGAGAGCATATTCTAGATATTATGAAAAGAAAACATGCTCACACTAACACTTTCTTCCTTTTAATAGATAAACACTAACACTATACACACTTTATACACTAAATCTATATATTTTTAATACATAATTATACTAACACAATCATTATTTTTGTTCCATTTTCTGTTGTCTATTAAAAATTTCTGACCTTCTAACACTCATTAGTTTATATATCTGGATGCCATGCCTTCTTTTTAAAATCGTAGTTTTTTATGACTGAACTCTTACACATTTGTACGAATTAGCCACTAAACTGACAAAACATGAAATAGGCTGGAAATAAAGTGAAATCTCTACACAGTAACATTTTGAAATATTACAATTTGTTTTAATTGTCTGTTTCTAAGGTTTCTTCTAAAACGATCCTGCAGAAATCATTATGTGTTAAAAGTACTTATACTGCATATTGTTTTAGGAAAATTACCTGCATTTACATCCTTTAAAATGTTTTGTAAAAAAATAAATCTTTTGTAGCATTTTTAATGTATTTGCTGTCACTTTTAGGGTCCTATCATACAACCGGCGCAATAAGGCGCAAGATGTGTATGGCGTGATTTGTTGCTATTTTCAGACTAGCGCAGCCCTAATTTTCACATTTTCCGCCATGATGTTTAAATAGCAAATCCATTTGCGCCACTTTGTGGACTCATGGGTATTTCGGTCTAAAAAGGTGTTCTAAGGCACATTGTTGGCGCGTTGCTAATTTGAGAAAATGAAATATACAGTACCATTGACCAAGTAAAAGCTGGTCTAATGTCCAGCTGTGTTATTTTGCACCTATGCAGCTCCAAACGCTTACACATTGCTTAATACACACAGGATGTACAGCAATACATAAATATCTCTACATAGGAAAAAAATAAAGGATTAAAATGTTACAAAAAATTATTAATTTTGTAATATATTTAAGGGGGAGGGGCAGACATTTTCGGTTTATTCATGACAATTTGCATTTGTATAATGTTATAATTATTAGAAATGTTATTTATTATATGCATAATTATATTTGTTTTAATAAAAATAAGTTTGTCCATCTGTTGGGTTTTGGAGATGTATGCATCATCATATGGGGCATAAGAATAGGATGTGTGTTTGGATATAACTCATACAAACCTTTGAACTGTAATGTAACTTGTGCATCAATTCTCCCCAGGTTATCAGATGAGTCGTGAGGAAGGACAGATGGAGGCCTTTATGAGCGAACGGGAACCTGGCAGTGGTGGGAAAAGTCTGGAAACGTTGGAGCTGGAGATTCAGGAGGCTTTTCTGCGCTTTATGGCGGCCATCTTGAAAGGCTACCGCTCATACCTGTTGCCCATCACACAGGCTCCTTCTGAGAAAGCCACAGACGCCAGCTCACTCTTTGATCTGCAAGGTAAGCAGCCAAAATAGACGTGTTGAGCTTTCTCTTGTCCTGGTATGTCAACACAGCTAGTATTGTTTGTGAAAGCTCAATGACAGCTGTAATGGAGTTGCGTCATCTGTGTCGAAACAAAAAAACAATGCATTTCAGGTCCTCGGTGGCTTGTTTTGACCCGCACACATGCAGAGAGTTCGCTGTTGTTGTATTAGAGGAATGTGAAGCTCAGCAGCTGCTCTGAATGCTCGATTCTGGCCTCGTGCCTGTGGAGTCTGGCTTAAATCAGGCTTGAAATGATTGTGGCGATTTTGATAAAGCCCCATTGGAAATTAGGCACGGCTGACAGGTCCAGCAAACTGTGGTGATTAATCGAATGTCTGAGAACACATCTGCAGCCTCTTATGTAATCATTTCTTTAGTCGGATTCGTATTTCACACGACGCTCAGGCTTTCTCAGTGGTGTAATTCGCGTAATTTAAGACTTGTCTTTTTAAATTTGACTGATTAAGAGTTTAATCACAAGTGACAACTGTGACTGTGAAATATAGAGATCAACTAATGAATGCCCTCACCTTTCTTTGTTGCAATGGCACCTTTGCTTGATGTCTGAAATGACAATAGTTGTATTTTTAATTTTTAAGACGTGTCATTAGTATTATATAATAATGAAAATAATAAAATAATGTTTAACTCAAAATTCTAAAAAGTTAGTTCACCAAAAATTGAAAATTAAATTATTAATTGCTCATCTTCATAAAAGAAATTAATATGTCTTGTATGAAATTCAAGAAGTCTGATCCTCCATTGACTGCAGTAGTCCCGACTCATTCCAAGTCCAAGAAAATGCCATGAAACATTCTTAAAATATTTCAGAGGGTCAGTCGGTATTTTATTAAGCTATGAAAATAATGACTTTATTCAACAGTTTTCTTCTCCTCAGTGTCAGTATAGGGTGCATAAAGAAGACTTTGTGTGACCTATACTGACACTGAGGAGAAGAAACTATTGAATAAAGTCATTATTCAAAAGTATTCTTATAGCTTTATAATTTTCAGATTGAACCACTGAAGACACATGGACTGTTTAGAGGGTGTTTTTTGGTAATTTTCTGAACTTTCAATCTGAGTCTGTAGCATTGCTGTCTACGAATGAAGAGAGAACTCTTGGATTTCATCTAAAATATCCTAATTTGTGTTCTGAAGATGAATAATGGTTTCAGGGCATTGGAATGACATGAAGGTGAGCAGTCTATAACAGAATAAAATATTTTGACGTGAACTGACCCTTGAACTACAGAGCATTTATTGTATTGATAGCAAAAAAATGTGCCATGTGTTCAGACATGTTTATATTCGTTTTTTTAGGAAATACAGTAAGAATTCTGAAACTTTATTTAATAATTAAGAAATCAGTGTAAAGAATTGAGTATTTGGTGGATTTTTAATGATCACTACTTATAAATACAGTAAATTTAAGCTCTTTTTCCATAGCTGTATATATTATTTTTGTTGTATTGTTGCTTTGATTACCTCTATTATATTGTTTTGCCAGTTACCTGAACCCTGTCCCCTTTTCTCACTGTAATGGTGTCTTCGCTTCCCATCATTCACGACTTTGCCTCTTTTTGCAGGCTTTTTGAAGAGTCGTGATCGATCCCATCAGAAGTTTTACTCCCTCATGACTAAGACTCAGATGTTCATTCGTTTCATTGAAGAGTGCTCTTTTGTCAGCGATAAGGATGCAAGCCTTGCTTTCTTTGATGACTGCGTTGACAAGGTATGACGTTTTGGTCTCTATGTATACATATTTCACTGCTGCAAAAAAAGTGCATGAAATCCCTTTATTCAGATTCACCTTTAATTGCTTTAACAAGGCTCTAAAGGGTTAATATCTTAAATTACATTACTGGCTCTTAGCAAAGGACTTGTAACAAAAAGTTCAAGGGAGGGCAAACAGTGTGATTTGTGAGAACTGTAAGGGAAAACGTTCTAAGTTGTTATTAGCTGTGCTGTTATGTTCCCTTGGGATGGCTTATGTCAGGTTGTTAATTTTCTGCGAGTATTGCTCTCTTGTTTGTTGATTTTTCCATTCTGGCTTTTTATCTGAGCAGGCTCTCCTGTTATTTTTGCTTTTCTCACTGCTCTCGTCTCTTTTCTCTTTAACTGTTGTCTTTACTTGCTTGCTTGAGCAGTTGTTTGGCACAGAGAAAGGAGGGAAGGTAAGTTGGTGAATTAAATTATTATTTTTTAACTGATAGGAGTCATATCTATTGTAGAAAATACTAAAAGTAATCAGGAGAATGTTTTTTTTTTGGATTGCAAAAGTAGAATTTACATTGACAAAGTTGTATTTTTAGACAGTAATGCTGTAATTTAAACTGTTTTGTAAAAGAAAATAAAGTGTATAGTAAAGTATAAAATAAAATGTAGTAAATTTGAAATGTAATATGAATAAAATGTAATATAAAGTCAAATAAAGTAAAAAATATATAAATAAATAAAAATATAAAGAAAATAAACAAGTAAATAAAACAAAATAAAACAACAAAATTAAGTTAAATGATGTATAGTAAAACAAATGTAAGCCAAAACCAAAATAAAGAGAGGAAAATAAAAGTAATTCAAATAAAATGTAAAAAGTGAAAAAATCCAAATATAATAAAAAAAGTACAAATTTCGAATGATTAACTTTGATTGCAGAAATTTAATTAAAATGTTTACATAAATACTATTTTAAACTATAATACTATAATTGAAATGTAACAATTTCAGTAAAAGTGTATTAGAATATGCTAAAATAAAAAAGTAATATAATACAAAATTAAGTAAATCAAAATAAAATTAACTAAAAGAAATCATTTTTAAAAATATTTTTTGTTTAATTTCTTTTAGTTTATTTTATTACATTTGTTTTACATTTTATTTTAGTATAATTAATTTCCCCCTATTTATTTTGTTTTTATTTGTTTTTCTATGCATAATTTAACCTAGTTTTAAAAATATTTTTAATTTATCCATAGAAAAGCAAATGACAATAAAACAAATAGGGGGAAATGTATTATATTACAGTAAAATAAATAAATAAATATAAAATAAAATGATGCGATAAAATAAAAAAAAAAAGAATAATTTGATAATCGTAACTTGTTTTGTTTGGTGGTTTCTTCACCACGGGCTGAAATAAATCTTGTCTTTGAAGGCGCGCACTCTCTGCTTTCATTATTAAAAACATTGCGATTTACTTCAGAGTCTCTGCAGATCCTGCATGCATAATGAATCTTTCTGTGCCATACACCATTTTGCATCTCTTTAAGTTTGCAAATGCTGCCTTTTCTCTGCATGACCCAGACTGAAGTTTTTCCTTCAGTGAACTATTTGCCTGAAGTGCTGACAAATATAGTCTCAAATAGTTGTATCACACCTTTGTAGTACATTTATATCTGTCTCAACAAAGGCACACAATCTGTTCTTGTTTAGAGGAACAGGAGTCATTTCTCAGCCCATCGTTCTCCCCACAAGGCTTCAGTCTGCTAGTAAAGACGAATGTTCAACTCGCTCTGCCTCGCACATTCAATTATTCTGCCATCAATGAAAGTCACACTTATCCTGCGCTGACCCGTCCTTTCCTTTTGAAAGAACCTTGGAGGACAGTTCTTTAGCACTGCGGTGGTAATGAAAATGACAGCTTGAGTTGATTTAAACTGGCGTGGGTTTGTGGCTTGTGTTCACAGAGGGCGTCAAACAAGAACTAGGGCAGAAAAGGACAAACCATGTACCGCCGGAACACGAAACTAACTCGATCACTATGGGAAACCTCAGTCATACAAAGTTACTTTTAAAGTTCGGCATAATTAAGTAATGCGCAATCATTTTTCATCCTGTTTTTGGCCCTATTTTTTGCTGATGACATATCGTCAGTGGTATTTTTACTTCACTACTGAATTACATATTTTTAAGAGTTAAATTGTTTGAATCAGTTCTCAAATTACACTGAACAATCAGTTTAGGAATTGCACAGACATCTGTTTATAAGTCAACAACTCAACTTATTTAGTAAAGGATTCACTGATTCAAGTGATCCATAAAGATAAAGTGATTCATTCAGAGTGAGTCTTCAGTTAACGATTTATGGATTCAAGTGATCTGTTCAGTGCAAGTTTCCAGTAAACAACTCACTCATTCAAATGATCTGTTCATAATGAGTCACCATTAAATGAATCACTGATTTAATTGATGTATTAAAAGTGAATCTCCAGTGTAGGAGTCACTGATTTAATGGTGCTTTCACACAAGCTTCGCACCCGGGTTCGCACCCGGGTTCGTTTGATGTCATAGTACATTTAGCTAGTGTGAATGTGTCTGCAGAACTCGGGTGTACATCCGAGTCAGAGATCCTTTCAGAGTGAGTCTCTGGTAAACAACTCACTAATTTAAAGTATCAATTGAGAGTGAGTCTCCAGTAAATTATTTACTGATTAAAATGATGTATTCAGAGTAAGTCTTCAGTAAACAGTTCACTGATTTAAGTGATCTATTCAGAGTGAGTCTTTAATAAATGATTAACTGATTCAGGCAATTCTTTCAGAGTGAGTCTGCATTAAACAACTCACCGATTCAAGTGATCGATTCAAAGTGAGACTCATAAATGATTCACTGATTAAATTGATCTATTCGGAGTTGAGTCTCCAGTAAACAACTAACTGATTCAAGGGATCTGTTCAGAGTAAGTCCCCGGTAAATGATTCACTGATTCAAGTCTCCTTTCAGATTGAGTCTTTAGTAAACAACTCACTGGTTCAAATTATCCAATCAAAGTGAGTCTCCAGTGAATGATTCACTGATTAAAGTGATTCTTTCAGAGTGAGTCTCCAGGAAACCACTCACTGATTCAAATTGTTCTCTCAGAGATAGTCTACAGTAAAAAACACACTGTTTCAAATGAACCTTTATGGGAGTCTCCTGTAAACAACTCTTTTTAACAAGATTTTGCAAACTGATCTGAATGGGATTCAGCGTGTAAATGTGGTATTGCATGTTTTTACTTGAATTTTCATGAATTGTCTGTGTAGTAATTAGAGTATGACACATTTTGACAACTGAATAGAGTTGAATAGAGTGTAAGTTGGGCACAGTTTGTGATTATTTCAAGGCTCTCGGGAATACTTGATTCTAATTAAACATACACGGTGTTCTGCTGTGGAAGGTTATACTACTAAACTATTTTTAAACAGTGTACTTCACTGCTGTCCTTGGCAACAAATCGCATGCACTGCTAAATGCTTTTTTTTCTCACACAATAAAATCATTTCCAATATCCATTTATGCGTTTGCTTTGTAAGCCAGGATTGAATCTAGATTATCCTGATTATAGTTTTTTGCAATAAAAGAATGGCTGACTTTTTATCTTCTACATGTCAAGCAGTTGTTGATGGATGGAAAAAATAATGTCAGTGTTATTATTAATACAGAGTTTCAGCAGTTTATAAAACGAGTCTTAATAATAGGTTGTAACTTGCTTTTCCACAACTTGAAATAGAAAAATATTTTCTTTAATGTATGTACAGTTAAAGGCCAATTGTAAATTAACAAATTTTCCAAGCGATGTTTTACAAAACAAGGACATATTGATTGTATTTCCTGTTATATTTTGTCTTCTAGAGAAAGTCATATTTCTTTAGTTTGGCTGGAACCAAAAAATTAGGTGAATATTATTAAGAGTGACCATAAGACAGGGGTGTCAAACTCAATTCCTGTAGGGCCGCAACCCTGCAGAGTTTAGTTCCAGTCCTGCTTCAACACTCTTGCATGTTTCAAACAAGCATAAAGCACAGTTAGATTGATCAGGTGTGTTTAATTAGGGTTGAAACTAAACTTTGCAGGGCTATGGCTATCCAGGAACTGAGTTTGACACCTGTGCCTTTTTTTCTATGCATTATTTTTTTCGATTAGCTGTAGATAAACCGCTGTTGTTCAATGGCTTGCTAGTTAATCAATTGCCTAGTTAACTTATTCAACTTTGTTAAGCCTTTCAATTGAACTGAATACTAGTATCTTGCAAAATAACTAAAATGTTGTCACTGTAAAATGTTGTCAATCCACTGTCATCATGGCAAGAAATTAACTAAGAGAAATTAGTTATTAGATATTCTGTTTAGGGGCAGCGCAGGGGGTAGCACTATCACCTCACTGCAAGAAGGTTGCTGGTTTCTGTGTGGAGTTTTCTAGTTCTCCTCATGTTCGTGTGGGTTTTCTCTGGTGCTCCAGTTTCCCCACAATCCAAAGACATGCGCAATAGGTGAATTGGGTAAGCTAAACTGGCTGTAGTGTTGTGGCTGGAAGGGTATCCGCTGTGTAAAACATATGCTCTATAAGTTGGCGGTTCATTCCGCTGTGGTGACCCCTGATTAATAAAGGGACTGAGCTGAAAAGAAAATGAATGAATGTATGATATGTTTAAAAAAAAAATTTGAACATGTCTTTCTCATGTGAAACAGCACTGGGAAAACTTTCTAATAATTTGGCTAATAGTTTTTTTTTTTATAGATATCTAAACATCCTTCAAGACAAAATCCAAGATGTATATATGCCTAGAAATGTAACATTTTATGGTTCAGTAAGAACAAATGTTTTTACTGAACTTAAAACTTAACTGAAATTAAAACTACATTTCACAGATCTTTTTATTTCAGTCATTTTATATCTTCAATAAATTTATCTTGATTTAAGAATCTTCGTACACTTACTGCTACTACTATTAATAATAATATGAATAATAACAGCAACAATAATTATATTTTATGTGGGTATTTATAAATGTAATATTTAAAAATAAATAAATTCCTATGGTTTCAAACTTTGTTTTGTACCGTATTCATGGAAAGTGCCTTGTGGCATCCTAATGCATTACACAGCTCTATAATCGACACCACAGCCATCAGTGCTGTTTTTGTCTGTTAAAAAAGGCAGAGATTGATCTAAAACCTTCCCAGGGAATCTCATTTGGCAAGTGCTGGAAGTACCTGAATCTGCCGTGTCACTCTTGTCTGCCCAATAACTTTAAAACTATGTGATCCAAAACCCTTTTGCTGAGGATGCTTAACAGAGGCTTAAATGGATTTTCACTTTATCGATAGACATAAAGCTTTCCTCATTTTCAGTGTACTACAATAGCATGGGCTTTATGATGCATTTATAGTGCATTTATAGGCTTGTAGACAGGGTTTGTCTGAAGGCTAAATGTACAGTGGCTCCTCTGAGCTCTGGCTGGCCTATAAAGAGCTCTGGAACGGTTTCACGGCCCTCAAGCAGGACAACATTGAGCATTAAGTTCAGGTCAGCGCACTTGCAATGTGTCTGTGGCAGATGGAGGATCAGAGCTTCTTCATACAGATGTGAGATCTGTCAGACACAACGATATGGGAGATTATCAGGCTCATTTACACTAAAACCTGTGCTCTGTCTGATCTGAGGTCAGATCATCTGTGCTTAAAGTTTCTTGGCACATCCAGACAGTGGAAAATCCCTTGGCATGGCTTCGTGGCTGGTTTCGGATTCAGTTCTCAGTTTTATAAATGATAAAAAAACTTATATATACAGTTGAAGTCAAAATTATTAAACCCCCTAAATTAATAGCCCTCCTGTTTATTTCTATACCCGATTTCTGTATAACGGAGAGAAGATTTTTTAAACTAATTTCTGGACATAATAGTTTTAATAACTCATTTCTAATACCGGATTTATTGTATCTTTTTCATGATGACGGTAAATAATATTTTTGTAGATATTTTTTAATACACTTCTATACAGCTTAAAGTGACATTTAAAGGCTTAACTAGGTTAATTAGGTAAACTAGGCAAGTTAGGGTAATTAGGCAAGTTATTGTATAACAATGGTTTGTTCTGTAGACTATTAAAAATATATAGCTTAAAGGGGCTAATAATTTTGACCTTAAAATGCTTTTTAAAAACTTAAACTGCTTTTATTTTGGCCGAAATAAAACAAAATAGACTTTCCCCATAAGAAAAAATATTAGCAGATATCTGTGAAAATTTCTTTGCTCTGTTAAACATAATTTGGGAAATATTTAAGAAAGAAGAAGGGGGTTTAATAATTCTGACTTCTGTAAATTCTGAATTCTGTAAAACTGTAAATTAAATTAAACATAAATAGATTTTTCTGTGTAGTAAAACAAATAAAAGGAAGTAAAATACATTGAAATAAATAAGATAAATGCTAAATAAAATAAAAAATAATCTATTTAAATACAATTATGGTATAAATAATTAAAATTATGGAAAAATTTTGAATTAAAGTTAACAAAATTATAAAAAGTTCCAGTAAATATACTAAATATATAGTAAAGATTTATTATGATAAAATGAAAATGTAAAGTACAATTCTTACAATAATATATAGTGTTAAAATAAAATCTACTAAAATATAATGTAATCAAATTTATTTAAAAAAATAACATAAAATAGATTAATTGATTTGAGATTACTAGTAAATAAAGATAAATTCTAAACAAAATAAAAATAATAAATAAAATTATGTAAAATCAAAAATAAAAAGATACACAAAACTGAAAATAATAATAAAAAAAATAATAAAACAAATAATGATATAATGCAAATAAATGTACAGTTTTCAAGAAACAATAAAGGAACTCAAATAAACTAATATAAAGTACATAAACATGTGATAAAATGCCATTTTTAAACCTTCATGTTGCCATAAATGTTCTCTCCGGTTCCGCTTTCTAACATATTTTCCTCTTTTCAAATGACCTCTATTAGCCTCCAAGCTAAAATATGTTTTTTTTCTCCATCACTGGTCATTGCTCATAGCGAGTGTAAGTTTGTGTAGAAACGGAAGAGCTGTCTGGGTCTGACTGAATGTGTTTTTACTCTAGGTGGACAGCGATAAGCCAGAGGACACTAGGCTTATTGAACTTGACAAATCCCACCGGAGCGAACACACGGTCTTCATCAGCCCTCCAGAGCTGCCAGCACTTCCAGAAGGAGAGGAGCCACCTATGGTTTACAGGTACAACAGACCAAACACAAGCTGTCACGATCAGCAACACCACCACATAAACAGTACATTGCCGCACAGATGGCATTGTTGCGGTAGTGTAATCCCCTTCCAAAACCTCTCACAGCAGGATGAATAAAGCTCTCGGAGGATCCCGGGTCTTCAGAAAAACTCTCACTATAAAGCAATAATACACACCCCTTAGAGAGCATGTGATTATGTTGAGGGGATCTGTTATTTTGGGATTTGGTGTGGTTTTCGAACAATGGGGTTTCTTGACGTTGAGGATTAACACTGTGTTTACATAATAACGTTTTAAAATGAAAGTTTAGTGCGTTTGAGTACGTTTTGGGGGCCTGAACAAACAAAATGAACGTAACAAACTAAGTTAAAAGTGCGTTTTTTTTTTTTAAAACAAGAACATTGTCATATCAGAGTATACTAAAAAAGATACACTTTGTTTTGAAAACTGTGATGTTATGCATATTTGACATTGCAAACTACTGGCCTGTCATCCTTGAAACATTTTTTTAGAAATCATTTTCACAGATGTTTGTGAATGGAGATCATACTGATCACATTGCCGTCCATGCAAAAACCTTTTTAAAATGCAGAGGAAAAATTATATCCATTTTAGCACATAGATTTTGTATAAATATGCCTTAAGATTGTCCTATCATTTAAGTAAACATCTTTTTAGCATAATTGTGGCATGCCTTTTATAAATACTCATAAATATTTAACTGTTGTTTTCAATATTTAATCATTTTTAAATAAAAAAATGTATTGCATATATACACTGTTAAAATGCAGGGCTCCACGTAATTCATTCATATTGTCCCAGCACATATAAATAAAGCTAACTTTATAGATTTAACAAATTTAGGTGGATTGAAAAAAAAAAATTAAGTTGTCCCAACAAAAATTCCAATAATTGTGTTGTTTCAGGTCATTTTAAATAAGTAGTTTGAACAAGCAACAAAAGAGTGTATTTAAGCAGAAAGTATTCAATATTGAATTCAGTAAAATTCAGTATTATACTATATTATATTATTCATAGAATGAACCACCATTTTATCCAGCATATGTTTTATGCAGCAGATGCCCTTCCAGCTGCAACCCAGTACTGGGAAATATATTATATTTTATTTTATTTATAATTTTTTTCTTTATTTATTTATTTTATACAACAGCAGGAATATTTGTCAAACTGTTTAGTGTCCTCTGCTTGTTGCTGTATGTGGGCAGAGTAATACACAAAGATGAAGGGTGAAGAGGCAGTATGAGTGCTGTTACTGGCAGAATATCACACGGCTATCAGCCAGTCAGATTCAAGAACCAGACAAAACTGTTGAATAAGTTTTATATTATATTATATTATATTATATTATATTATATTATATTATATTATATTATATTATATTATATTATATTATATTATATTATATTATATTATTTTATATTATATTATATTATATTATATTATATTATATTATATTATATTATATTATATTATATTATATTATATTATATTATTTTATATTATATTATATTATATTATATTATATTATATTATATTATTTTATATTATATTATATTATATATATTATAAAAAAGGATTTTTGTTGCTTGTTAAAAGTACTTATTTAAAATGAGTTAAAAATGGGAAATAACACAATTCTTATGTGTTTATTTGGAAAACCTTAATTGTTTTATGTTCAATCTACTTCAATTTGTAAAAGCAATTAAGTTAACTTAATCAATTTGTGTCAGAACAACAAGAAGAAATGGGGTCGAATCCAGCAGTTTTTACAGTGTATTTTATCATATATTGGTGATCAGTGTTAGGCACACATTTATGCTTAATTATATATTTCATATCATTTCAATGTAACTGCACTTTAGCTTTTATAATCTGCAGATTTGTAGTCATATTAATATCTTCTCTGAAGCTGCAGAATCTCAATGGTACTCTTGCATTAAGTGATGCATGCTGTAACGTTGTGGTTTTGATAAATAACGTTTGACATGTCTTGACAGTAACAATCTTTGGATGTCTTACAGTTACAGCGGCTTCCCGGCACTGAACGCTCAACTCTGTGAGCATCAGGATGGTCTCAGAGTCCCCAAAGCAACATCAGCCCTGAGACACATCAGTCCCATCAGCCCTGCTGCTATATTCCGTCGCTCCCAACAGGTTTATATTTTCAAACGCTAACCCATGATCCCACTTGTCAAATCTCTCCTCCTCCTCCTCACTAATGTCCTGATCCTCCCTCCGTAGGAGATCAAATCAGCCCAGCGGATGGCCAAAACCTACTCCTCCATCCCTCAGATGTGGTCTAAATGTCTCCTCAGGCACTGTCACGGTCTGTGGTTCATCTGTTTGCCTGCGTACGTCAGCGCGTGTCACTCTAAAGTGCGCGCTCTGCATACTGCTTACGATGTGCTAAGAAACATGCAGGACAAAAAGCTGCAGCCTCCAGATGAGGTACAGTCGCCTCTATTGATTGCTTTGATCATTTGCGAGTAGTGCTGCAGGTCTAGACTGCAGAATCTTGCACTTGTGTTGTGATTTTGTGTTTAACGGTTTGTTTCTGGCCCTCTGGAGGTGTGTTATCGAGTGCTGATGCAGCTGTGTGGGCAATACGGTCAACCTGTTCTAGCGGTTCGAGTCCTGTTTGAGATGAAGAAAGCCGGAGTTCAGCCTAACGCCATTACATATGGATACTACAACAGAGTGAGTGTAGTTTTCTCATGTTAAAATATACACATTCATTTCAAGGCCCATTTACATAAAAAATATAGTTATGAAAATAGCTGTAGAGATTACTATATAAGGTTCCACAGCGGCAGATGATACTGTTGTGTTAAATATTAGACTTCACTGAAGTTATCATGCTCATTAAAACAGAGTAGTTTATAGTTTATTAAATGGAAAAAATAAATAATGTGTTTTATGCTAGTGTGGCAGTAAAATGTGCTCCTATCTATCTATCTATCTATCTATCTATCTATCTATCTATCTATCTATCTATCTATCTATCTATCTATCTATCTATCTATCTATCTATCTATCTATCTATCTATCTGTCTGTCTGTCTGTCTGTCTGTCTGTCTGTCTGTCTGTCTGTCTGTCTGTCTGTCTGTCTGTCTGTCTGTCTGTCTGTCTGTCTGTCTGTCTGTCTGCCTGTCTGTCTGTCTGCCTGTCTGTCTGCCTGTCTGCCTTTCCATACAACCATCTGTCCATTCGTTCATCCATCAGTCCATCCATCTATCTTAACAATTGCAGCTCATCCATCCATCCATCCATCCATCCATCCATCCAGCTTTTTATCCTATCCATCCATCCATCCATCCTTCTGTTCGTCCTATCCATCCATCCATCCGTCTGTTCGACCCATCCATCCATCCATCCATCCATCCATCCATCCATCCATCCGTCTATTGGTCCTATCTATCCATCCATCCATCCAACCATCCATCTGTTCATCCTATCCATCCATCCATCCATCCATCCATCCATCCATCCATCCATCCATCCGTCTATTCGTCCTATCCATTCATCCAACCATCAATCCATCCATCCATCCATCCATCCATCCATCCGTCTATCCGTCCTATCTATCTATCTATCCATCCATTCATCCCTCCGTCTGTTCATCCTATCCATCCATTCATCCATCTATTCGTCCTATCCATTCATCCATCCATCCATCCCTCCCAACTATTGCTGCAATAGATTACATTTTTGTAGATTTCATGTTAAATCATGGTAAAATATATTTATGATATATAGGTCTATACATATATATTTTGTGCAATCATTTAATCCACTAGGTTTAACCGTTTGTCAGAAATATGTTTGTAACAATTGAATCCTTCTATCTATCGGTTTGTCTGAATCTTTGCTTGCATTTCATGTACTTTCTATTGGTATAATATAATGTCTATATACATTACAGTTTTTCTCAGTCACTTTGGTGCATTTCTCAGATCAGAATTAAAATTTGCCAAACAGTAAGTGCATTTTTCAAAACAACACATACAAATATCAAAACACCATGGATTACCTGCAAAACACAGTCTCCATGCTCAAAATCCTGTGGACATCTCTCAAAACTAAATTTCTGTGTCTATAAACGTGTCCTTGTGTTATTGTGTGCGGATAAGACAATAACAGTGTACTCTGAAGAGCTGTTCTGATGTAAATTATCGCAATATTTTTTGTCTGTTTGTTGGTACTGTAATTTGTTGACAGATCATATCATTTTGATACAGAAAGGAAGAGACAGCACTGCATAGCACAAAGAAAAAACAAAAATAGAGATGTGAAAATAGGACAATCTCCTTTTAGACCTTCATTAGAAAAAATCAAGATTCACCTGAGAGAAATGTACCAATTGTGGACAGATTTAGAAAAAAGTTGAATGGAAATGTATAGAAAAATGCATTATGACAAAATATAATGACAACTTCTTCAGCCATTTTGCTTGTAAAGACTTACGCCATTAACAAATGTTGTAGGGTGTGAGACAATTCAACAGAGACACAAATAATGCATTTTGCTCAACATGACATAAGCAATTGATATTGTAACATCAGAGAACTGCACGTAATCATTTGCATTATTGTACAAAAGCATTTGCAATGAGAAACTGCTTTTCTGATGTGCACAAGTGACACAATGATGTGAGGATTGAACAGGTAGTTTTGAGAATTTCTATTCTGATCTAAGAAATGGACCAAAGTTACTGAGAAAAACTATTTTAATGCAGGCACCAAAATGGCTCTTTTCTTCAACCCTGAAATACAAGCTCAAGCTGACCCCCCAAAAAGTGTATATTTTTCTAGATTGAGTTCAATATCGAAAGGACTTGTTTATCCTCTCATGTGGAGCAGTTTTTTTATTTAACGTGGGCTGTATGTCTTTAACAATCTGGTGTTTTGCTTGTGGTTTTTGAGGGTGAAGAAATGTCACAGAAACAGTGTTCATCTAATTTAATAAATTTTTATGCAAAATGCATCAAAAACAAACATCAATGCACAATCACAAGGTTAGTTGCAGTTTTGCTTCTAGCATTTTTCCTGCTAACTGCAACTAAAACAGACAGAATCAGGACAGACCTGCAACCCAGTTTATATTACCAACACAACCACTGCTCTGGCATAGTTTGATTCCAAATGCCACTTGGTTTAGCATTTTGCATCTATTGAAATACCACACATACATTTTATGCAATATATGAGCTGCTTTAAAACTGAAATATAGTTTGTAAAACCAGCTCTTCAAAATAAAAGAGAAGTGATTTATCTGTAGAGGTATGTTTTGCTAATTCTTCAGGACCTTCATCTGGCAGCAGATTTGGCATGTGACTTTGTTTTTCATGCCTGTTATCATTAGACAAAAGCATAGACCAGCAATCATCTCCCTGGGGATCGTTTTTGTGTGTGTGTGTGTTTTGGAAATTGTCCCAAAATACCAGGAGGACACACTGGCATAGATATAAGTCTGGGCAGCTGAGCGTTGCTCCAATTCTATCAGAGTAATTACAGCTAGTCCTTGACAAAGAACACAATCTACTTAAGATAATGAGAGGCATTGTACTGTAGAATTATTCAGCTAATCTGTATGTGAGTGTGTGTCTCTTACTGTAGCATTCTTCTCCCTTCAGGCCGTCCTGGAGAGCACATGGCCTTCTTCCACCAGAGGGGGATACTTCCTGTGGGGAAAGCTGAGAAATGTGGTCCGGGGTGTGGTGCTGTTCAAACAAGTATGGAGGAGGCAGACCACCCACCCGAAAGACACTCATCTTTCTGGTAAAACCCCCAACTCTGTTGCACTTACTCTCCCCAAAAAAGCATTGATAGTCTCCTAATGCAATGTAAAAGCTACAAAATCCACCCAAGATGCTGGACAAAACAAATTTTCATAACATTTATTTAAATTACTAATGGATATTGTAAATATGACTATTTTGGGAAATGAGTGTTACTTAACAGCCAAATTGAAATCAGGCAAACCTCTAGATTTCAATTTTGATTGAGATTTCCACCTTTGAATATCTCATACAAACTATTCACTTTTGAGATTTCATTCTAGTTAGGAAGTTGCTTGTGTAGAGGGCAAGTTAGCTGACTTGATTTTAAAGAGTTTATTTTAGTGGAAATACTGTAGAGTTCATCAGCTACAAGCAGTTATTACTATAAGAACATATAGTTTAATAAAATATTAATACAAGTATTAAAACACACTCTGACCAATTTATCTGAATCAGTGAATTGTTAACAGAAGATGAGCTCCAACCAAATCATTTGAATTAGAGAATCATAAATTGAAGACTTTCTATGAACTGATCATTGGATTAAATGAATCATTAACCATGACTATTAAACTAACTTGCATTAACTGGATCATTTGAGTCCGTTAACTGTTAAATGGACACCCACTCCAGTGAATAATTTGAATTAGTGAATCAGTAACTGAAGTCTTTCTATGAACTGATCATTTGTTTCAGTGAATCATTAACCATGACTATAAAAGTAACCTGCTTTAACTGGATAATTTGAATCAGTTAAATGTACACTCACTCCAATTAATCATTCAAATCAGTGAATCATTAACTTAAGACTTTCTATGAACTGATCATTTGATTAAGTGAATCATTAAGTTTAGATTCACTCAAACTGGGTCGTTTAAATCCGTGAATTGTCTACTAGAAGCTTGATGCAACTGGATCATTTGAATCATTGAATCATTAATTGAAGATTCACTCCGACTCAATCATTTTAATCAGTTTTCTGTTGACTTGAGAACAGATACAATCGGATTAGTCCAATTCACAAATTAATCATTCACAGTGATTTGCAATCCAATTTAAGAGGGAAACTATCAGCTTGTTCACAAATCAATCACTGCTATCGCTTCAGGCGATGATCTCTCCAGTTCAGTGGAGGAAAATATTAAGTTTTCAAATGTAACATAGTAAAAGAAAAGTTTCTCAAAAAACAAATACTCAGACACAATACATAAACTTGAAAATGTACCTAAATGCATTAACAAAGGAACTAAGTTGTCAGTTTCCACCACTGGTAGCTGCTTTCATTACATTACATAATAATCATTTTGTTTCCCATTGCTCCACCAGAACATTTAATCATTGTTCCGAATGATTAGTCATTATATCACAAGAGTTATTAAAGAGTAACGAGATGCCCTTTGAGATGTTAGCCTAGCCAACAGGGGAGCATCGACTCAATATCGCTTCTCAGTGTCAGAAAAACTTTCCATCATTGCACAGGGAAACAAGGTTACTTGAGTTTTGTGCCTCAGGGGGGCTCCATCTCTCCCCCTCTTCACTCGGGCCTAATCCAGCATGCCTGCTCAACCAGGGAGAGACTTTAATGGCTCCAATTAAGATGAGAGTCGATAGTCGCCTCCTCAGCCACATAGTCTGCACTCGATGGCATCTACTTTCTCGCCTGGGCTGCTGTAAACAACATATTAGAGAAGGGCATGAGAGGGCTTTCTTAATTAAAACAAGCTGCCTTAACATACCATCCCTCCAAAAACTGTAGATTTGTTGTGCGGAACAAATTTATCTTGCGCACAAGGGACAGTCTGAGATCTGATTGGCTGATTGCATGCAGTCGGAAACAGTTACGTTCAATGGATAGGGCTTATGTTAAAGCTTTTATAATAAATGTTAATAGACTACTTTTAAAAAGTTGACTTAAGTCAGTAAGATATATGTTTTGTTTTTTTTGGAAGATATTAATATTTTTATTCAGCAAGAATCCGTTAAATAAGTTATTATAGCATTTATTATATAAGGTATTTTCTATATTTATATAATAAAAAACATTGGAATATTTTATTTCCACAAAAATATGAAACAGCATACTTGTTTTCAACATTTATAACAATATTTGACATTAAATTTGGTCTCTAAAGAATTTTTTGTGGGTGTCTATGTGTTTTTTTTTCTGTAACTTTATCTGATGCTGCCTGTCTTGATCAGAACTCCCTGGTAGTTTACAATACAGTTTCATTAGTTCATATATTTCCTAAAATGAACTAAAAATAAACAATGCTTTTATTAATCTTAGTTCAACATTACTAGTGCTTTATTAAAATACAAGTTCATGCTTGTTAACATTAGTTAATGCACCGTGAATTAACAAACTAACAATGAACAACTTTATTTAATAACGTTAATTTAATAACATTTAATAATTGTTCATTGTTTGTTCATGTTAGCAAATACATTAACTAACATTAACTTATACAACCTTATTGTAGTTTTACGAAAATCTCAAAACTTCATTCAGTTGTATTAGATTTAGCTTAAAGAAAAAAAAACACAGTGTTCTAAATGTATTCTCTAACTTTTGTTTATGTTTTACTAGTAAACAAAACAATATTCCATTTTCAGTTCATCCATTTGATGCCTGTTTATCTCAATTCTATAAAATAAATTTCTTGAATTATTCATCTTTTTTTTTTTTGCTTTAGATGATTATTATTATTGGATTTAGTGCATGCTTTGAAAGCCCCTCACAACCTTCTCACCCCACGTGAGGGGCTTAATTTTTTTTTTATGTTGGATCAGAAAAGCCACTAGGCACATGTTCTCTCTGATTGGTCTTTTTGCTCTGCTGCCACTTTGAAATCTGATGCAATCTTTGGGCAGAGATCTTTTCACACTGCAGACTGTGGCTGTTTTGAAATATGTTTCTTGTTAGTTCTCCTGCTAACTGTCTTTCATGCTGTTCTTGTGAGCAGATGCCAGTGATCTCGACAGTGTCAGTCATGGCAGCCTGGACAGCTCTAACGATTCAGCGGAGCGAGTTTCCATTGATACAGACTTCACCAAAATGGATTCCAGTGATGACAGATCCAGCACAGGTACCCGGCCTGCCTTAAGTCTGTCTGTTTCTCCTCTTTTCCTTCATCTGCGCTCTCGGCACATCAGGACGTGCTTCTCTCTCCTTCAAACTCGTCAGAAGTCTCTAGGAGAGTCATTATTTTTCACTGTGGGAGTGAAAAGACATCTCTTGCTTTTTCGTTTTTTTTTCTCTCGCTTTCAGTCTTTTTTTTTTCTCCGACCACACATTAGTATAACACATTTAGTTCTGTGAACAAAAGCATTACGCTTATTCGTATGCCCCCTCAAATGATTCATCCAAAACAAAATTTTAAAAAGGTTCAAAACGAAGTAAAATATGTTTAAATAATTGTACAAATAGTCGAGGTCAGTACATTTCTGAAAGACTTATCTTATACTAAATCAAAAAAAGCAGTCATTCTTTCATTTTACTTCGACTTATTTATCAGGGGTGGCCACAGTAGAATGAACCACCAACTCATCCAGGATATGATTTACGCAATGGATGCCAGCACTGGGAAAGCACCCATAAACTCTCGCATTCACACACACTCAAACAGTACGGCCAATTTAGCTTATTCAATTCATTTATAGCGCATGTCTTTGGACTGTGAGGGAAACCAGAGCACCCGGAGAAAAACCACAGGAACATAGGAAGAACATGCAAACCCCACAGAAATGCCAAATGAACCAGCTGGGGCTCGAACCAGTGACCTTCTTGCTGTGAGGTGACAGTGCTAACCACTGAACCACCATGCCACCCAGAAAAACAGTCAAAATAGAAATATTGTAAAGTAATGTTACAAAATAACTGTTGTGTGCTTTAAAGTCCTCATGAACTGATAGTTGTTGGGACTTTTATTGCTGTATGTTGATGTACTTCCAACTGTACTTCAAACTGAATATTGAGTGGTGGGTGGGGCTTTTTTGCACATCATTATAGAGACACAATGCAACATGTCATAATCGCAAGTTGCCTTCTAACTTGCTCCATTAACTTTCTGTTGCGGGAGGGTGATTCCTTGTCCTTTCTGATGAATATAAAGTGACCAAATGTAAAGCAGACAAGCTAAAAATTACAAAACCAAATTTTTAAATCCTGTCAACCCCAAAAAAATAGTGTTTAAGAGCAGAAAAGCAGAGTTCATCTTCTCACATCAGAGAGCTAATGGGAAAATGTAAATGGCGACAAATTAATGGCCTAATCCCAATTCCATTTTTTGTACCCCTAGGTCATTCCCAGCCACTAGACATTTCTGACAGGGTTTTCGAGTGTCATCAAGTGACAGAATGTTATGGGACTACTATACAGAAGTTATTATTATGGATTATGGAAAGCGAAGTTTAGCGGTGTTTATTTTAGCGTTTTTGTAGCTGGTGTATTCTGCAACATTTTCTCACCCCTTGGTTTTAAGTGTGTTCCTGAAAAATCTCTGTTTGAAGGGGTATCTAGCCCTTCCTCTTAGCCCTACACCAGGGGTCACCAATCTCGGTCCTAAAGGGCTGGTTTCCCTGCAGGGTTTAGCTCCAACTTGCCTCAACACACCTGCCTGGATGATTCAAGTATACCTAGTAAGACCTTGATTAGCTTGTTCAGGTGTATTTGATTAGGGTTAGAGCTAAAATCTGCAGGACACCGGCCCTCCAGGAACAAGTTTGGTGACCACTGCCCTACACCTTCAAGCTAAAGAGAATTAGGACACCCCGACCCCCTTCACTTGAACGGGTAAGGGCTAAGGGGTAGAATTAGGAATGGGTCCAAGTATACACTTTTGTCTCCTAAAAGGATGGCTTTTTTTACGACTTAAAAGCTTGTAAAAACTTAGTTCTGAATTTTATTTTGTTTGTTGTGCACCCTGTCACACAACAGCTTATAGGCATGGTGATAAATGTTTCTGTTTACATTTCCCCTCACTGAGCGGAACCTTAGTTTTCTAATATGAGACATTGCACTCTGCTTTTGTGTCCTTAACACTTGTTTTTTGGCGGGTCGAAAGGTTAAAAAAAATGTATTCTGGTTTTAAAGGACAAGAAGGCACCCTCATGTAATAGAATAAGTCAATAGACTTTTTTCACAAGCCTGTTCTAATGCATTTAACGATTTTATCCTTGAAAGTTTTTAATTTTTAGATTTAAAAAAAAAAACAACAACATTTATTTGTATTTCTGGATGTATTATATAATCTTTGCTTCAAATTACAAAAAACGAATTACCACTTATGTGAGCTGTTTTTTAATGCAGCGTCTATGTGACGTTATTCTCTCCCCTGGCTGCCATCATCAGTCTCACACTATTTTTCCCCTTTTTCTGAAAGTCTCAATAACACCATTGTGGAGTTTTTCAGCAAATGGTTATTTCAGCAAATAAGATTGTAAAAATGTATTTGATGTACTCTCCCATTCACTGTGCTCTTAGTGTTCCCAACTATGACGACTTCCACCACTTAGAAACCAGGAAGTGTGAAAAGGGTCTAAAGAGCGAGTTGTTTTACCCCTAGTGGGGGCGTGGCCTAAATGCACTCTGTCTCTATAGCAATCTAAATAACAGCAGAGCCAGAGATTCTCAGGGGGAGGGTTTGGTCCAGATGTTTGTTTTTTATGACAGTTTCTGCTGTTTCATTGTTATAAACCCTCTGGGGTCAACAAACGCTCTGGAATCTTCACGAATACCTGTCTCCCAGTCATAAGAAGCACATCTCAGTGAAATTATTTGCTATAAGGGACTTTGTATATACCTCCCAAACTTTTGAACATAAATACTTGTATATCGTATTCACAGGATTATTTCTGATTCCGGATTTTTAATTTTAAGACAGAAGAGTTTTTAGACTGAAAGTGTTTCAGTAAACCCCATTAAAGGAATAGATAACCCAAAAATAAACATTTCCTCACTATTTCCTCGTACTCGGATAGTTCAAAACTTTAATAAATTTCTTTTTTCTGTTGAAAACTAAAGAAAATATTTTGAAGAAATAAAAATAACAAAGCAGCCATTGACATCTATAGTTGGAACAAATATACATTCTTCAGTTTATCTTCCATTGTGTTCAACAGAAGATGGAATTCATAAAAAGCTGATTGTAAGCAATTGAGTGTAGGCAAACGGTGAGGAGACTTTCATGTTTTGTGTTAACTATCTAATTAACTTCCAGCACAAAGACAAAATAACTGACATTTTTCATAATAGCTTCAAGTCCCGTATGAAATGAGAAACAAGCAGGACTGCAGTAGGTGCATGACACTCATATCTGAGAATATGTTAAAAGACAAAAAATGAAAGCCTCACTGCATGTTAGAAGAGCTTTTTGAAGAATTGTTAAGCTATAGGCGGTGCTGCCCATGCAGGAGATCTGAGAGATGTGCGATTTGACAGAAGAGACTCGCAGTTACAAGCGCTCGCAGACAGTGCTGGAGCAAGACTGAGGAAGAAGGAATGAGTAACAGTGTTATTTTAGTTTACCTCTGGAGGGAGTACTGTGATGTGAGCTTTATGCTCTATCAGCTTTCTCAGCAGCAGCAACTGTGAGTGTCTGTCAGTGTGGCTCTGTTTCATTAAAGTATACCACACAGTAAATGAATGCTTTTTTTATGTTGTATTATCGTCATGTGTTATTATGAGAAATTCTGGATTATCTTGGTTTGAATCTCTTTCTAAGAGCCTCTATCAAATCTATCAAATTAAATCACATAGGAAATAAAGCCGAGATCAAGATTTTAAAATCATTTCTTAACATTTTTTTATAAATAATATAGTGTTCATATTTTAAGATACAAAAGACTTTTTTAGTTTGGCTTACCAAAGAAAAACAGTGATCAAAATAAGGGAACAGCAAAGACTGCTGTATGTAGATAAATTAAAACAACATTTTTACTTTAGGCAGAAAATAAAAAGAAATGGAAAGCTTTTTTTTTATCCTTTCCCTAGATTGATGAACATAATTGGTACTACTAGACCAACATAAATGAAACTAAAGTAAACTACCCTTATATAAGCTGTTTAACTCCTGTTAAAATAACTGCAAATAAGACCATGCAGTGATCTCAGAATGTTGAAAATCTGTTGTTCTCTAATTTTGATCTCCACTGTATTTATATACAGATTTGTATGGCAAATCTGTATATAAAAAAGGAAGAAGAAGACATCTTTCTGACATGAATATTTAATAAAGACGGTTGTTTTCCATATCTCTGTTACAAAGTGCTTTGTTGTTAATTGTCTCAAAAAGTGGGGATAACAAGCAAACGGCTGTTCTAAATGCTAAATCTTAACACTCACTGTATGTGTTTTGTGCATTTGTTTCCATTGTAAAATTAGCATTTTCAAACAAACCGGTATTTTCTTCTTTAGGGGGTCAGTCTGATCAGGGCTACGACTCTCTGTCTAAAGAGGAGGTGAGGTTTGGTGGAGGTGAAGAGCAGAACTCCTCTCCAGACATCAAGGAGAAGAAGGACAGAGACTCTTGTCCATGTGAGTAACACAGAATTCTGACCACCTTAAACTTACAAATAATGTAAATCAAATAATCTAAATTTTCTTGCCGTCATTTTGTCTCTGCATTGGAATCAACAACTCAAATTCTTTGTACAGTGCTCAGCATAATTGAGAACAGCCCATTTTGAAAATGAATATTTGTATCCATTTCTCAGTAAATATAGGCAATGTTTTTTGGTGCATTTAAACAAAGCAGATTTATTAAACAGATATATCTATTAAAATTATATTTTAGTCACCAAACATATTTAGAAATTGAAAGATATTACAATTAAATTCAAGCACAATATTGCAAAAAAAACATAACAACCTACAAAATTTTCATCGAAAATTTTCCTTTTTTTTTTTTTTTTTTGCTTCTCTTGATTTTTCCTCTTTTTTAAAATTATATTTAATATTTTTCTATAACATAAATTTGGCTGTACTAGTTTTTGGACCGTTATCGTAAGTTATTTTGTTAGATAAGCTCCAGATTTGTCTTCAGTACTGACTAAACTAATATATATGTACAAATATAATATTGTATAGCTTTCTAATAAAAATATGAATTTCTCAGATAGATTACACTACCACTCAAATGGTTGGAGGTTAGTAAGATAACTATTATATAAAGGAATTAATAATAAATGAATGTTGTTTTTGTTTATCAAAATTAAATAATTTATTATGATAAAAATTAATTAAATAGGAACAATCGTATATTTGCAGATGAATGATGTGCAAAATATTGTTCATAGTCATTTCATGATTAACACATGAATGCATATTAGAAATTAAATCAAATCTACTTGTTTAGGGCTGCCTTATTGCCTTTAGCCATGACCATACAGATCACGATCAAGCGCAAAATGTTCAGACAGTGATTCATCTTTAATGAGTCATTAAAATGTCCAAGACTGTGGTGCACTGTCAGTTTTAAAAAGCTTAGCTTAAAGGATTGATATAATGTGTGATATAAACAATACTTAAACAATAGCCCTTGAGTTTGTATTCAGTTTATTTAAATGAGAGGTAATGCAGCATAATACAGCCAGTAAACAGAACACCAGAATTTGCTTCCCATTGTAAGATGCCATGAACACCTCTTTGCTTCCACCTAGTGGTAAACTGTGGCACCACAAAATCATTAAACTGCTTTTTGATCTCAAGCTTTTAACAAGTGCCTCCTTGTTATTTATTTCTGATTTCAATCTTCAGCATCTCAGTCGGAACTCTCAAAGAAAGAGGATTCATCCCTTGCAGCTGGAATCCATCCTCCGGAAATCAACAAGGAATCCAGTCAAGCCTTTTCCAACACCATTCCGAAGACAAAAAGACCTAACTCCCTGGATATTTTTGGAGAGAAACCTGTAAGACCCAATACACTGGATCTAACCCCAGATAAGCCAGTAGACTCTGTACCTGTAGCACAGACACAAACAGAAGCATTGGAGGGCGTTGTGAGCCCACCTAAAGTTTCCGTAGAGAGGAAAGCCAGCTGCACGGTTACCATGGAAAAGACAGTTGCCATGGAGAGCGGGCACACTGGCGTGGAGAGGAGCATGAGCTGCAATAGTGCTCTCAGTCGAGTGGTGAAGAGGACGGGCATTGAAGCAGGGTTTGATCCTCTGTCCCTCATGGCAGCTGAGACTCACGGCCATGAGGACGAGGATAATGCGGGCACCCCAAGCGCCCGTCGGGACCTGGCTGAGGAGATTCATCATTACATGAACAACCTGAGCAGCCCGTTAAGCCAGCGTTCTCTCAGTGTGGACCTGAAGGGCCACCAGACCCCGTCCCCTCACAGCTCGCCCTGTATGTCCAAAATAGCGCTGGGCTCCCCCAGTGCCTCTCAGCTCCAGCCTCAGCCACGAACACGACTGTTCTCCTCGCCCTCGCTTCCTCAGGGCCGCGTGCGCAGGGTCAGAGAGCAGCGGCCCACTTCTCTGGCCTCACCTTCATCACCCACCCCCTCCTCTTCATCTTTCTCTATGGACTCTCTGCTCACTCCGACCCTGGATGTGTTCAAGAGCAGCTTCCTGTCTGCTGGGAAGGGCGTCGCTGAGAAAGCCAGTAGATTGTATTCCAGACTTTCCTCGCAGACGTCCATTGCACAAGTACGTGTAAGACTTGAGTTAGGATCTGCTGCATTCATACTGGAAACTAGAATGTGGAAAATGAAACTTAATTTTTTCAATTATTTTAACTTAACTTTTCTAGTTAGCCTAACTAAATATTTCTAATTGCCCCAACTAAATTTTCCCAGGTTTTTATAACTACATTTTTCTAGTTCTTTTAGCTTAATTTTTCTGGTTGCCCTTAACTTATTATTCTAGTTATTATACTTAAAATTTTCTAGTTGCCCCCACTTAATTTGACTAATTCTTATTATTTATTTATATATTTATTCTAATTTAATGCTTGTTATTATTGATTTTTTTCTAGTTTTCAAGTTGCTCCCACTTAATTTCTCTGGTTCTTAATTGGTTGTGTTAGTGTAACTTAAGTTTTCTAGTTCTCCCAGCTTAATTTTCCAAGATTTTCAACTTAATTTTCTAGTGCCAGAACTTAAATTTTCTAGTTGCCCCCAATATATTATTTCTAGTTGCCCCCACTTAATATGACTAATTATTATTATTTATTTGTTCTGGTTAAATGTTTATTATTATACATTTTTTTCTAGTTATTATTGAATTTTTCTAGTTTTTAACAAAAAAAAAATATTTGCCCCTACTTCATTTTTCTAGTTCTCCCAGCTTAATTTTCCTTGTTCTTTCAACTTAATTTTCTAGTTGCCCCAACCTAATTTTTCTAGTTGCGCCTATTATATTTCTAGTCATCATATTAACCTAATTTGACTAATTAATATTATTTAATTGTTCTTGTTAATTGTTTATTATTTAATTTTTCTACACTGTAAAACCCAAAAAGTTGAGGTAACTCAAACGGTTTGAGGAAACTGATTGTAACAAACCATTTAAGTTTAAAAGCTAATCCAAATGAGTACTGTGACCTTAATCCATTTGAGTAAACAAAGCAATGTGAGCACAGTGAAACCCAATAAATGAAGAGAACTCAAACCAACTAAGCACTGCAAAACGCAAAAACTTTCTAGTTTCCACAATTTAATATTTCTAGTTGCCCCCAACATATTATTTCTAGTTGCCCCCACTTGATTTGACTAATTATTATTATTTAATTGTTCTAGTTAAATATTAATTGTTGTTGCATTTTTTTCTTGTTATTATTGAATTTTTTTAGTTTTCAACATAATTTAGATTTAACTTAATTTTAATAATTCTCTAAATGTAATTGGCCTTGTTAGTGCAACTGAAGTTTTCTAGTTCTCCCAGCTCAATTTTCCTAGTTCTTCCAACTTTGTTTGAAGATTGTGTAGTACTGAACCTCATTATTCATTGTTCATTAATTAATCATGTTAGCTAATGTATTAACTAGCACATTACTATATTTGCAAGTTTACATTAACAAAGATTAAGTTTTGCAAAATAAAATTGTTGTTATTTTTTAGCTTGTGTTATCTAATCCATTAACAAACACTTAAGTGCATGTGTAAATAAGTATTTACCAACCAAGCTGTTCATTCAAAGAGATTTAGAGCATTTATTTACTGCACAAACTGAATTTTTACATCACTGACCAAACCACTTCCAGATTGCAGTGGCAGATTTCAATTTGTAGGCTTTATTGTTAGTATCATGTACGTTTTTGCCAATTTCTAGTTCTGGTGTTATCTTTGTTGACTTTTAAAAAAAATGTTTTTATTGATTTCATCAGGATTTAAACTCTGACCGGGTCAGTGTGTCCTCGCTTGGGTCTGGTGACCCTGACTGCTCCTCTTTGATTGAGAGTGATCTGTGTGTCGATCCTGAAGGGCTCTCCTCCCCACAAAGGGATGCAGCTCAACCCGTCATACGGCCCAGAAAGAGCCCTCACAGGAGTAATAACTGCCTAGAAAGCCCATCCGCGGCACCTCGACTCTTCCGACAGGCCTCCCTCACTGGTACGTCTGCTGGATTCACTGATCACTACACTATATATGATTACACCCCTCACAGATATCTTGTTTAAAGGTCTCGTGAAGTGCTTTGAAACATGTATTTTTATTTAATGTTTGACGTAATCTCAAACCGAAACATTAAGAGAGGGTGGGACATAGTGTAGCTCCTCCGTTTTTTTAAACACAGCCAATGGCGTTTAATCACCGCTTTGCCAGTGTGAGTGGTTGAGCTCAAGTGCATCAAATGAAAAGCAAATGAGAAGCATCATGAAGAGGGCGGAGCATGTCAGATACTAGAGAGCATTTGATTGGTTATGATGTGAGGAGAAATTGTAGTATGTGATGATGTAAATAAAATTTAATTTAATTGATCTTTATTTCTATAGCACTTTTACAATGTAGATTGTGTCAAAGCAGCTTAACATAGAAGATCTAGTCAATTAAAACCATGTCAGTCCAGTTTTCAGAGTTGAAGTTCAGTTTAGTTCAGTGTGGGTTCATTTTCATGGCTAAAAGTCCAAATTCTGAAGAGCAAATCCATCGATGCGCAGTTCCACAAGTCCCAAACAAAGTAAGCCTGTGGCGAGTGTTGAGGAACAAACAATAAAAAAATTGGTCCATTTTGGCGGAAGTGACAACCTACAAGCTTTTCAAGTTTATATCAGTTTTATATCTTCTAAATGTGAATTTGTCCCAGTTTTGGGGCACACTAGCTTATAAACATCCTAAAAACAAATAATTCGGATACTAACAGCTAAAAAACTTAATATTCTATAGGACACTGTAAGGTTTACCATATTATAATTGTGCATATAAATTAGATTACTCAATATCAAGGCCAGAACTGAAACTAATCTAACAAAAAAAAACAAAAAAAAAATAAAAAAAATTAAGATCATAGTTCAAAAATGTGTACACTTAAATGAATATTTTGAGGAAAAATGAATAAACAGGAAAACTCAAGAGAAAGAAATCAGGAGAAATCAAGAGAAAGATAAAAATTGTTGAAATTTTGTATTTTAAATAGCTTTTATGTGTAAAAATTTGTTTGAATTTACATGTATTATCATTATATTCCATTATTTTAATGGACATCACTGTTTAATAAATTTATTTTGTTTAAATGCACCTAAAATATTGCACTGAAATATGTTTTCACTGAAAAATGGATAAAAAATATTCATTTTCAAAAGGGGCTGTACTCAATTATTCTGAGCACTGTATGTTAAAGAAAATACCTAAAAATATCTAGATAGTATAACTTTAATTTATAATTTATTTAATATTTAAGATTAAATATGCTGCTAGAATGTAAAATACTATATTTATCTGCATTAGGATTTTTCTTGGGAGTTTTTGAAAACTGTTGCATTAAGAGAATATTTAAATAATTGCTTTTACTGTTATTACTGTGTAAAATGACAGCCTTGACGCTAATTATTTGGTTTTGTAAAATTAGTAACTTATTATAATTATTTAATAGATATATTACATATACAACAAATATTTACAGTTGAAGTCAGAATTATTAAACCCCCTTAGAATTTTTTTTCAAATGATGTTTAACAGCGCCAGGAAATTTTCACAGTTTGTCTGATAATATTTTTTTTTTCTGGAGAAAGTCTTATTAGTTTTATTTTGGCTAGAATAAAAATGTTAATTTTTTAAAAACCATTTGAAGGTCAAAATTATTAGCCCCTTTTTTATTATTATTAAGCTATGTATTTCCAATAGTCTACAGAACGAATCATTGTTATAAAGTAACTTGCCTATTTGCCCTAACCTGCCAAGTTAATCTAATTAACCTAGTTAAGGCTTTAAATGTCACTTTAAGCTGTATAGAAGTGTCTGGAAAAATATCTAGTCAAATATTATTTACTGTCATCATGACATAGATAAAATAAATCAGTAATTAAAATGAGTTATTAAAACTATTATGTGCAGAAATGTGTTGGAAAAATCTTTCTTCTGTTAAACAGAAATTGGGGAAGAAATAAACAGTAGTGCTAATATTTTCATGTGGTTTAATAATTCTGACTTTAACTGTATATATAAATATAATTACAGATTTAACATTTTTGTGAAATAATAAAATGTAATAAATATGTATTGAAAGCTAAATAGTTTTACAATTTCACACTTTGTAGATATCAGACACAATATAAATACAGAGTTGTTCGTATGACATCACCTAGACGGGGATTTAAGGACATGAAGATGAAGTGAGCAAAATGGTGGAACTAAGTAAGATAGCTGACATCATTTACACCAACTAATAGTGTTCATTTTAAATAACTCGCTCTGTTCAGCCAAAATCTTTCAGGTTTCCCTTGAATAACGTGGATAAAAAGAGACAGCGGGCAAATAAATTACCCATCATGCTCTCTCATGACTAATTCTTGGTATATTCCATTTGGTAAGATTTCAGCGTCATAGTAATGAAAAAGCAAAAAGGATTATATTAGCTTTCTATGCAGCTTTTTCTGGGTCATCGTGCATGATGCTCTGGGTAGGTGATTAAACATGTTTTTTGCATTTGAAGAGCCGCGTGTGATTTGTAAGCCTGGTCATTGTTTCAGCTCCAGCAGCTGCAGAAGTAGGCCAATAGACAGGCCTGTGAGTGTGTCTGGCTCTGCAGTAATGGGGTCTGAGAGGGGCTCTTTAATCAGCCTGACGGGGTTGTTTTTTTGAGTGCTCCCCAATCACTCCCATCCGCATACACGCTCTTATCCCAGACTTCTGTAGAGCCTCTCTCTTCTTTCAGCGCCATCAGAATTAGCATTCATAATCCCTGCAGGCAATCACCTTGAAATGTGACTAGTTTTTTGGAGAAGATTGCTGTCTGATGAAAAACATCATCTCTTCAAAGCTCCTTTTGCAGCAGAGATTGACTGTTGTGTTGTCTTTGTCCTTCAGGTCCATCGCTGACAGTAATGAAAGCTCTGCAGACTCCAGACACATGCTCTGATTCCAGTTTCAGTCAGTTCACACAGAGTTATGCTGTCGAAGTGAGTTTTCTTACATTTAATACCACATATGTTGAAGGTTTACTGTTTGAAGAACATGTTTGTGAAAGTATTTCAGTTCGAATGACATGTTTGATGAAGTATTACTGTCACTGTTCAATTGTTTGATGAAGTTTCACTTAGCAAATGCCACATATGTTGAAGGATTACCATTCGAATGACACATTTTCTTCAAGTATTTCCATTTGAATGTCACTTTTGTTGAAGTATTTCTGTTTAAATGTCTCATTTGTTGACGTATTTCTATTCAAATGAAGCGTTTTGGTTAAGTTTTATTGTCTAAATGACATGTTTGTTAAAGTATTACCATTCGAATGTCATTTCTGTGGAAGTATTTCAATTCGAATGTTACGTTTGTTGAAGTATTACCATTTGAATGTCACGTTTTTTGAAGCCTTACCATTTTGAAGGTCACGTTTGTTGAAGTATTACCATTTGAATGTCACGTTTGTTGAAGTATTTTCATTCGAATGTCACGTTTGTTGAAGTATTTCCATTCAAATGTCATGTTTGTTGAAGTATTTCTATTTCAATGTTACGTTTGTTAAATTATTTCCATTCGAATGTCACGTTTGTAGAAATACAGTATTACCATTCGAATGTCAAATTTTTTGAAGCATTTCCATTCGAATGTTACGTTTGTTGATGTATTTCCGTTCGAATGTCATGTTTGTGGAAGTATTTCAATTCGAATGTTACGTTTGTAGAAGTATTACCATTCAAATGTCACATTTGTTGAAGTATTACCATTCGAATGTTACGTTTGTTGTAGTATTACCATCCAAATGTCACGTTTGTTGAAGTATTTTATTCGAATGTCATGTTTGTAGAAATACAGTATTACCATTCGAATCTCACGTTTGTTGAAGTATTTTTTTATTTGAATGTCACATTAGTTGAAGTATTTCCATTCGAATGTCACATTTGTTGAAGGATATCCTTTCAAATGTTACGCTTGTAAAAGCATCTCTTCAACAATCAAGACATTCGAATTGAAATACTTCAACAAATGTGGCAAGCAAATAGAAATACTTTGACGAACATGTCATTCGAATGAAAATACGTCAACAATCGTGGCATTTGAATTGAAATACTTCAACAAATATGACACTTGAATAAAAATTGATTGACAAACATGTCATTTAAATGCAAATACCTTTACAAATGTAACATTCAAAAGTATTTCATTTCGAATGTCACAATTGTTGATGTATTTCATTGGAATGACATGAATGTCATGCTTGTTGAAGGTTTACTGTCTAACTGACATTTTAGCAAAGTCCCTTTAAGGCAAGCCATGTAAGGCCTTCATTCGCCATATTAACAGTTACTTTTCACCATTCAAAACTAAATGACTGACACGTCTTGTGTATTCTATTGTGTTTGATGGTGGCCAAACTATTTCTATTTGAAATACACATTTCTTGAAGTGTTACCACTTGAATCACAAGTTTGTTGAAGTGTTACTGTTTGAATGAGATATAAAGTTTACTACAGCTGCAGGCATGACTGTTAAGTTTGATTTTTCAGGTTCGTATGTCGAGTTGTTCTCGCTGCAACACCTGTGAGAGTTTGGTGTATGATGAAGAGATCATGGCTGGCTGGACAGCCGACGACTCAAACCTCAACAGCACATGTCCTTTCTGCGGCTCTCCGTTTCTGCCTCTGCTCAATGTGGACATCACAAACATGGGTGAACAAGAAAGGTAATTCAGTCTTAAATCAAAACAATTCATATTTCTTTAGAGATATGGAGCTTTTCAGACTGTTTTTTTTCCTGTATTTTTTAGATCACCTTGTCAAGATACAAGTTCTGGCCAGACAGAACGAGAAGATGAGCCACCAAAAGTGTATGATGCCTCTAGCACTCTGTCCAACAAGGACAAAAAAGACCCTGTAAGGATGGTTTTCTCAGTTTTAAACTTCATGACCTTTCAGTGTTTTGGAAAGCAGTTTTGTTCACATCATATATTTATTATGATATATAAAATCATTTGAATAGCATTTTACTGTTGTTTATGGAATACAAGTAGCATATGATGCTACTTAAGTAGTGCAATTGATGTCAATTACACAAAACATTGATTTAGTGCTAACTAAGAAAGCTCGATTTTATATTGAATGGTGTATTACCCCTTCATATGTAATTTCAATTGGTTTAGACTTATAAACTTATTAGATTAGTGATTCATTTGTCATTTTGTGCTGTTCTGAATGCCAAAGATTTAATGCTAAATTTTAAATGTATTTTGGGGGGGTGTAATACATATGAGAGGAGCTGAAACACTCATGTATGTGCTGTTCCAAGATTATTATAGTCAGGATAAACCATAAAACTAAAATCATTTCTAACTGAAAAATTGAAAATTGTAAACCATTAAAGAAATATACACATATTTCAGCTATTTGCTAACAAAAGTATTCATAATTTTCATTTAGTTTGACTTAAAATTATAATGTTTAAAACTAAAATATAATGAATAAAATTACATATACCTGTTAAAAATTATACTAATAAAAATGTTTTTAATAAAATATAAAACCATGGAAAAATGACTGCATGTCTACAAATGAAGGCTGATATTTTTTTGAAGAGGTGGAAAAGTATTACAACATATTTAGATATGTGTATTTAGAGGTTACTTAACCCATCACCAATGTAATTTGAGGTAACTACAATGTTGCACAACACAATGTAACTTGATGTAGAAATGTATCCCCTGAAAAGTAATTATGATGGCAATGCCTTTAATTTATTTATTTATTTTGCATTGTTCCTTATTTTAATTTTGAATTTTTATAATATCATAATTTTTTATGTATTTCTAATATGTAAGGGGTTAAACCGTTGGGGAAGGGGTTTGTAATGAAGTTCACGGCCCTTTGGCCGCCGGGAAGAAGGAGGCGGAGAACGCAGTTTTAAAATATTTATTAATAACAGTGAAGGCAGCTCCTCACAGAGACTGCCGTCTAAACCAAAACAAACAGACGGCAGCTCCTCACGGAGACTGCCGTCAAACTGAAAACAAAAGTAAAATATGTCCAGGCCCGGTCCTCTCTCGGCTTCTTCTGCCATCGTTCCTCCTTTTATGGTCCAGAGCTCCTTCCGTGGGATTCGAGGAAGGTGCGCACCGCAGGTGTATCCACTTACGCGGTGGCCTCACTCCGTTCCCACAGCTCTCGGCCACGCCCCCTCGCCACATAGTTGTTCTGAAAAAAGGAAAAATATATATACTGAAGAAATCTTAAATAAAAAGTTTAAAAAAATATATATATATACAGTTGAAGTCAGAATTATTAGTCCCCCTTTGAAATCTTTTTTTTTATTATTATTTCCCAATATATGTTTAACAGAGCAAGGAAATTTTCACAGTTTGTCTGATAATATTTTTTCTGGAGAAGGTCTTATTTGTTTTATTTCGGCAAGAATAAAAGTTTGTAATTTTTTAAACACCCTTTTAAGGACAAAACTATTAGCCCCTTTAAGCAATTTTTTTCGATAGTCTTAGCTGTATAAAATATTATTTACTGTCATCATGACAAAGATAAAATAAATCAGTCATTAGAGGTGAGTTAATAAAACTATTATGTTTAGAGATGTGTTGAAAAATTTCTTCACCCCGTTAAACAGAAATTGGGGAAAAAATATAAACCGGGGGTTTAATAATAATTCTGACTACAACTGTATATATAAAACCATTCAATTTAAAATGATAATATAAACTAATAACCTGAATTAAACCATTATTAAAAACTGCAACATATTTTGTAAACATTTCCTTTCATTCGCAATTTTTTACACAACTTCTGAATTTAATTATAAAATGGTAAACCCTAATGCAATGTATATATTGGTTTGTCTTTCAGCATTTCCATTTGAAAACCTTTTTGACTTAAATGCAACATCCTTATAAAAATAGTATGATGTAATATTCTAGTTCTATGTTTGTTAGTTGAGTTGATTGTGCTGGTGGTTATTTAGTTGTTTGTGTGCTGTAGGAGACAGTGACCGTGCCATACCTGAGTCCTCTGGTTCTCTGGAAAGAGCTGGAGAGTCTGCTGGAAAATGAAGGGGATCAGGCCATCTCCTCTGCAGCCATTGTGGATCATCACCCCATCGTCTTCTGGAACCTAGTGTGGTTTTTCCGTCGCCTGGATCTTCCCAGCAGCCTCCCGGGTCTCTATCTGACCTCCAAAAACTACTGCAGAGATACTCCAGTGAGTCTTTCAAGAGTAACGTGATGTCTTTGTGGTTATATGTTGATGTTGGTGATGTGTAAAGTGCTGGTGATGTTATTTGCATTGGGTTAATGTTATTTATGTTTGTTTGTTTTTCTTTCAGCAGTCTCAGCAAAGTTGTGCTTCAGAAGACAGTAAGAACGTGTTGGTCCAGATCCTGTGGGACAATTGCAGACTGCACCAGGATCACATTCAGCCTTGCTACCTGCTCTGGAAATCATATTGTAAGAGTATTTCCTACAAAATCCATCATACAGTGAAAAGTGAGGTTTATGAGTGTAAATGTGTTAACTGCAAAATCAGTTATTATTATTTTTAATGTTAATATTATTATCTAGATTCTATTATAGCTATTATTTTCGTAGTTTTACTATTAAGCTCTTGTCACACTTTAATTTAAGGTACAATTCTCACTATATCTAACATTAACTATGACTTAATGTTGGTTAAAAGCTCAATAAACTCCTATTTTTCTGTTTATTATTATTGATTTTAATGTAATTGGGTTTAGGTATTGGGTAGGATTAGGGATGTAGAATAAGGTATCTACTCCATAAGTACAAGTAAACATTCAATGTCTTAATAATAGACTGTTAATAAGTCAACATTTAATAATGAGAACTGGTGCCTAAACTAAAGTGTTACATTAGTTTTGTTAAATTTACAGACATTTTACAGAAATTCTGCATTTAAAATTCAATTATAACTAGAAAAATTAAGTTTCAGTAGATAGAAAAAATAGGTATGTGAACTAGAAAAAAAATTGTTATTTGAACCAAAATAAGTTGCAGTAAATTGAAAAATTAAGTTATTTGAACTAGATCAATTAAGATGCCACAACTTGAAAAATTAGGTTGCAATAACTAGAAAAATAATGTTTTTGAACTAGAACAATTAAGATGCCACAACTTGAAAAGTTACGTTGCTGTAACTAGAAAAAAATGTGACATTAATTAGAACAAAATTTAGTTATTTGATTTAGTTAAATTAAGTTGCAGTAACTAGAAAATGTAAGCTATTTGAACTAGAACAATTAAGATGTCATAACTAGAAAAAAACAAAGTGCAGTAATTAGATTAATTAAGTTATTAGAACTACAACAATTAAGGTGCCATAACTTGACAAAATAGGTTGCAGTAACTTGAAAAAATAAATTATTACATTAAGTGAAACAAAATGTTGTTATTTGAACTAGATAAATTAAGTGGCAGTTACTAGAAAAATCTAAACTAGAACAATTAAGATGGCATAACTAGAAAAAATAAGTTGCTGTAGCTAGAAAAAATTGTTATTTGAACTAGAAAAAAAATAGTTATTTGAACTAAAAAATAAGTTGCAGTAACTAGAAAAATTAAGCTATTTGAACTAGATCAATAAAGATGCCGTAACTTGAAAAATTAAGTTGCTGTAACTAGAACTAATACAACCTTAAAGATTTACCAGTATTTTTATATTTTGTTTCAGTTCCTTTAAAAATTTAAATGTACTTGTTTCAGTTTTGTTCTTAGCTTCCATCTAATATTTCTATTTAAGCTCTATTTAAATGACTAACTACATTTTATTTTTAAACATTACATTTTAGTTTTAGTTGACAATATCACTTATGCCCAGTAATCAATAATAAAGGCAACAATCAAAAAACGTATTTAGAAAAATCACTAAATATATTAAAGCGATTTAGGACTTTGTACTTTTGTATGACCATAATACACAGGTATTATCCATCTACATGATAATGACTTGATCTTTATTTATTTGTTTGTAGGTTTAAGCACTGCAGTGTCTTCTAGTCTTAATGAGGATGAGCAGGCTGTAAGTCTGGAGCTGCTACAGACGCTGGTGAAGAACATCCAAAAGAACGATGTCTATCAGCCCATGAGTCTCATACTGCAGCTGCTGGGCTCCAGGCTGGGCTTCAGCAGGCAGCGGTATGAGAAACAAACCTCTGCTTTACATGTTTAGAAACACAAGTCTTGACAAGCTAATCTTGATAACTCATTTCTTTCTTTTTCATCTGCAGGAGTTTGTATAGAGACATCCTGTTTCTATCTTTAGTGGCTTTGGGAAAGAGTAGCATAAATATCGGTAAGCATGAAATTGATTATTATGATCACTTATTTTATTTTTCATTCAGATTCTAATGCTGGGTTTACACCAAAGCGTTCTCATGAGTAAATTACACGTGCTTACAGACGAATTATCACTGTGCAAAACAAATGACGTGGAATGTGTAATGTGTTTGTTGCGAACTCGCCTCAGTCGTTTGTACCACACAAGTTCAAATAATTGAACTTAAATGGGAAAAAAGATTTGCATAAGGAGAAACACATTCCAAAAGTAAAATAGAGCGATTGACATGGTATTTTAAATGCATTCAAATACAATTTCTATTCATGTTCAAAAGAAAATTGCTGAATATTTTTTGGTGTTCATGTATAATTTGAAATGGTGTAGAATTTCTTTACTAATTAATAAATTAAATAATAACATAATGATAATGGTTTATTTAAAAAATAAACAAGAAATCAAAACAAATTCACTTTGTAAGTTTGCTGTTGAAATAAAATGTTGTTTTATTTAAGGAAATATTGCATTATTTATTTGTTAAATCAGAATGAAATGATTACATATTATTTATTATTAGGATTAAATTAGTCAAACTCCACAACAAAGATTTTCAATTGTTACAAGAGTTTGTCAAAAGATGCTGTTCTTTTCGTATATTAAGCGATAGTTCACCTAGAAATTAAAATTCTGTCATAATTTACGCACCCTTCATTTGTTCAAAACCAATGAGTTTCCTTTATTCATGCATTGATTTTCTTGTCGGCTTAGTCCCTTTATTAATCTGGGGTCGCCACAGCGGAATGAACCGCCCATTTTGAGTTTCTTGTGTTGAAAATAAAAGATATTTTAAAAAATGCTGATAGCTGGCACCCATTGACTTTTCTTCCCACTATAGAAGTGAACTGGTGCCAGCAACAGGCATTCTTCAAAATATTAATGTTTGCAGAAGAAGAAAACTCACAGAAGTGCTCAAGGTCATTTTTAATTTTGGGTGAACTATCCCTTAAAAAAAGTAACCCCAAAAATATTTTATTTTTTCAATATTAGGAGTAGTTTCTTAATTAACAAATCAGCATATTAATATATCTGAACAATCATGTGACACTAAAGACTGGAGTAATGCCCATTAAATTTTGCCATCATTACATAAGTTTATTTATAAACTAATTTTGAGAGGATCACGTGTTTATGATTGTTCTCAGCTAGTCCAGCATCAGCTCATGATTGATTCTCCAATCAGATGATTCCTAACTCACTATAAATAAGCAGAGGCTTTCTTTTCTTAATATTTGCGTCTTGAAGAACCCCCCTACCCACCCCTACTCCCTATTACAGTAGTACTGTTGCCTCACAGCAAGATTGTTTCTGCTTAGTCCCATCTAAACCAGACATCATTTTTGTGCAGAGTTTGCTTGTTCTCACCTTGCTCGCATGAGTTTTCCCCGGGTTCTCCGGTTTCCTCCCACAGTCTAAAACATGCAACCTAAGTTATTTGAACATACCAGATTGATACCATGGCCAAGCTCTTAGCGAGTACACCTCTTCTAAGCCATCCATATCAGTCATTACCCAAAAATAAGCCGGGGGCAGTTCATCAATATCTACCTGAGCTCACACTCCCCTCTCGCCTTGCAAATGGGAGGGAGCACAGGGCTCGAGGATCTCATAAGCTCAGGGCTCTTTCACGGGACAGCCTGCCGAACTGTGACTTTATTATTAATCTTCAGCTAAAAAGACTTTAAATGTCTTTAATTCGCATTTAAAGGCTGAAGATGTCTGCTGATTTGGCACGCTGTCCTGGGAGAGAAAACTGAGCTTGGAGGTTGATGAGCCCAAGGCTCCCGCCTGGTCAATAAACATGTAAGGGGGTACAAGATCAGGTAGTTCTCGAGAGCTTCCCCAATTCGTTTAGCCTATTCCTTGATTAACCATGAGAGCTATATAGGAATAGTCCACCAACCACACCAGTGGATACTTGCGTAGAGAAGCTCAGTGCTTGTGGCTGTTACTATTATTTAATTCACTTATGTCTCATGGACTGTGGAAGGAAATCGAAGTACCCGGGAGAAACTGATAGGAACAAGGAGAGAATACGTAAACTATGCACAGAAATGCCGACTGGCTCAGCTAGGACTTGAACCAGCGACCTTCTTGCTGTGAGGCAGCAGTACTAGCCACTGAACCGCAGTGTAGCCTGATCCTGGATTAAACTAGAAGGAGGAGAGAAGGGGTGGATGGGGGGGGGGGCTTCCAAAATAAAAATAAAGGGTTAAAGTTAGGCAGGATATTTATGTTGAGTTTGGAATGCTCCGATTGGCTAGCTAATGATTACTAATGGGGAAACAGCCACGATCAATCATATTACGTGCTCCTCTCTAAATTAATTCAGAACTTCGCTTAATAAGACCTTTGGTCAGGTAAAAGCTGCATTGTTGATTTTAAAACTTAAAAAATATTCCCTAACCCCAAACTCTTCATATCATCTTTCCTTATTTATATTTAGATGCATTCGACCGTGAATACAAAACAGCGTACGACCGTTTGACACCCAGTCAGGTCAAGATGACGCACAATTGTGACCGTCCACCCAGTGCTGGAGTCATGGAGTGCAGACGAACCTTCGGCCTTCCCAGTCTGTGATTCAATCCTCACATCCATCGCATCGAAAACCATCCAAAGACGAAACACTTTCATCTGAACCAAAGCTACCTCCGGCTCTCCTGAGGTCTCTTTTGAAACATCTCCTTTCTGTCAATCTGACTGTTCTCCATCTAATGGACACTTTATATAATCAACCATCACATTTCCCCCCCTCCTTTAACTCTTCCGTCTGCTAACGTCTCAAAGTTGACGTCGAATCGAAATCGCCCTGCGCCGCTCAGGTAAACTTGAGTTCAGAGAATCATTTGCTGCTTTGACACAATCCACATTGTAAAAACGCTACAGAAATGTGTAGATTAGGAGCAATATCAATGTGCTCGGGTCAATTCCACCCACTTCGAGCGAATGGCGGGGTGAAATTGGGACCAGTAGCTGTAGAACAATCAAAGTCCATCACGCTTAGGAAGCACAATGAGCGCAAACACACACAAAAAAAACGTCTTGTATATTTCACACGCAGGAGACTTTGTGTACAAACGTCTTATCATTTTAAATATTTGTATTATACAGTTATATTTTAAAACTGGAATTTGCTATAATCGACGTGTGTCCATTTGTAAAGACTATATATATGCTGTCGGTAACGTGTCGGTTTTGTTTTTTTGTCGTCCTGGTCCTGGAGACCAGCCGTGTGGTGACCGTCGGTGACACTGTCGTCTTGAGGTACTGAACTGGACCAAATATAAACTCGGACTCTCGGTTTACATGTTGAGGAGTGTGTTTGATGGTGATTTGAACTGAGAAATGCCTTACCTTGGGGCGAAAAGCTGTATGGATTATGGAGTTTCATTTCCAACAGGGTATAACGAGTAGTATAGAGACGTTTAAAGAATCAGTGGACTGTTATTATGAATATAAAGTCAGCATTTACACCCACCTACATAATCCAGTGTGTTTGCCATGAAGGTACTTGATTTTAGTTCATTCTTCTTTGTATTATGCAAAGTATTGTGTAAGAGACATAAAAAATGAAGTACCTGAAGCATACAAACACTTAAATTAATTGTGTGACATGTAATAACTAATGGAAACGTGTTTCTGGCATGGATTTAAAAAGGTAATTGCGACATTATTATGTCTTTTCAACACAAGTTCCTTTTTTTCAATTTTATATGAACACACAGTTGCTGTAAATAAATGTACTTCATTAAAAATGAAGACTTTACATATCACAATTCAGACTCTTCTCACTAGAAATAAATTAATTCTCTAAATTGTAAATTTTTGTGTGTGTGTAATATACAACACAGGCTCATTCTGAAAACGTAACCCTATATACATTTCTGGAGAGCAGGAACTATGTAGCCTGAGGAATGTAGATTTCATCTTTAAAACGAATGCTGTGGGGCGGTATGGCACCGTTCCTTTTTGCGCTTACCAGCTGACCGCTTACCTCCATATAGACGGATTTCCCACTGTTACCAGTTTGTTCAGTTAGCTCACCAAGTCGATGGGGTTCGAGTCTGCCGAAGAACGGTTTCAGAAAGTGGATAAGACAAAAACAGAAGCCAAAAAATAAAATAAACAAGTTAATAACAGGGTGAGAATGTGGTAAAAAATCAGGCGAGGGCTTTTCTTTTTCTGGATTGCTTTTTAACACTGTCGGTTGGGTTTAGGGAAGTAGGTGGGCGGGTCAACCACTGCTTTTGAAAACACTATCGGTTGAGTTTAGGAAACGGGGTAGGTGGGGGGCTTTGGTCGGTCGACAGCGGCCTCTGGTGGATTTATGTAAGTACAGCAGGCACGAATGGCACTTGCGAGAGAATTTTGAAATCTCTAAAAGCATACACAGCGACCTCTGGTGGATTCACGAAAACAAAAATGCAAAAAAAAAAAAAAAAAAAAAAAAAACATAGCTCCTGGGACGTATTTTGCTCTCTCCAGAAATGTATACAGCGATACGTTTTCAGAATGAGCCTGAGTTCATTTAGAAAGGTAATTGTGACATTATTATGTCAGTTGGGAGTTCTCAAGATTCTGTTTTTTTACTCGCAATCTAAACTCACAATTGTTTATTTCTTTAATGGAAGTTCAAACACAAATGTTGCAAGTTCATATTTTGCAGTTCTATATGTACCGAGAAGTTGCTATAAAATTAACCTAAAATAAAATTACATTAAAAATCAAGACTTTACATAACCACAATTCAGACCTTTTCTCACTGAATTATAGCTTTTCTTTGTGTGTAATTTAGCCTTAACAGTACACTTTAGTTTAGGTCACACTTCATGATATTAATAAACGATTAACTAACACTACTTGCTTAATAAACTAATTAGCAGTTTATTTATAGTTGTCGAGGTTGGGTTTAGGGTTTAGGTTTTGGGATGCAGAATGTGATCATACTTTATAACTACAAATAAACAGTTAATATCTTAATAATAGTCAGGTATAGCATAAATTGTGACTTAAAACTAAGTGTTACCGATTTGCCAAAGCTAACTTAAGGTAATTTGTAACTTTTTAATTTAGTGGCTAATTTGTATGAGTTTGTATGATCTCATACGTACAATTTAGTACGATTTGCTCATCCCCCAATGACGGTTGGGTTTAGTGGCTGGGTTGGGTGCCACGCCTCCTTTTTTTAAATCATTCATTTTTGTACCACTGAACTCATACAAATTAGTACTAATTAGACACCATACTGACAAAACGTTATTAAAGTTACGTTTCCTCATGAGATCAGGCTGAAACATCTGTACATTCTCAGAACTGTGACTGATATCTTCCAATTGCAAGTTCATATTTCACAATTTTAAGAAAAAATGACTAGAAAGTCTATAAAGTGCAATAAAATAAACCCAGATTCTTTCTTCTTGCGATTAAGAGTTCATATCTTAAACTCACAATTCTCACAATTCTGAAATTGCAAGGAAAGAAGTCATTATTATTCAGTATAAAAATACAAGAGTTGCATGTACCTATTTAATACCATGGCAGAAGCAGGCATTTGTAATAACTGGAATATTTCAATACTGTTCATTTTTTGAATCATGATGTTAACTATGAAGTTGCACTTTGAGTCTGTGTGGTTGATAAGAGGATTTAAGCACTCCTGACAAGCGTGTGGATTATGAAAACGATAATACATGTAATTACACACGATGATGACAGTGATATTAATGCCTCGAGTGGAGAAAAACATAATACTGCCCTAAATGTTTTGGTACAAAAATGAAATCGACCTGATGCTGTGTAAAACTACAAAAATACACAATGAAATTATACTGCTGTTAATGTTTTAGCAGTTTTTCTATCACCTGCTTTTTACGTCCGTATGACATGATAGTGAAGCAAGCGAACACGGTTAATGTGGTTCATTTTTGTTTTGTTTTTTTTGATAAATGATTTAATGTTAGGGCAATGTGCTTTACATATCACTCCTTTTGTTACTTCTATTTATACTTGTATATATCATTTTTGTCAGATCTGAGCCAGATCTGTGAAATTGTTTAAAAATGTATATAAATAAATACACATAAGTCAACCACAGTATGTTTGTGTTTCTGATTTGTTTCACATTTGAAAACCCCATTTAATTTTGCGTCGAACCAACAAGTAAATATATTTACAACAACATGACATGTGACATTCATAAAAACAAAAAAATAGCTATCCTTTTGTCTATTCAGTAGTGAATTCAAACACCAGAGTGAGACTGGTATGCAGATTCATTACTGATTACATTAGAATTTTTGTCTATGAGAGTCTATGAGAAAAAAAGAAATGTACTTTACATACAGCACAAGATCTGCTTTTAAAAATGCCTGCTAATGATATCCTTTTCCGTGTTACAAAAATAAGTCCATTGCAGATTGTGAATAAATTACATCATTTACAATAAGCTCATCGTTTCTCCTGATGTAGTCAACTCTGCAGACACTGTTACAAAAGAACTATAGCTATCAGTGAACCCACAACATCAAATAATACACTTATGATAATAAAAAAAAAATCATCCAAAAAACAAAACTTATATGTTGTAAAATGCAATCTTTTGTCGATGGACAAAATTAAAGCAACATTGTGTTTACAGTGTTACTTTGTACAATAGTATTAAATATTCCAATAGTAATAAATCCCATGTAAATATATCTGTTAATGAAGAGTGCCCTGTAGCTTGTGGTTCGCAGGTTAATGTGTGGGTTATTCTGTAAAGCTCTGATAAAATGGACCATTTTATTTCAGAGCAGCATGACAGTAGGTCAGAATAGCACATTTTTTTAATTATTTGGAAAATCAGGGATACTCCACAAAATATCGACTTCTTTAGCCTTCTGAAGTAACAAAAAAGCTACTCTGTTGTCTATATGGTAGTATAAACATCACTGAAACCATTGCACCTTTTTTATTATTTCTATCTAAATAAATGCTCTAAAATGTATTTAAATTTGGAAGAAATGTCATGAGTAGTTTACAAAAAGAAAAGTTACGCAGCCTAATAGTTAGAGCATAGATCTCAAACTTAAATCCTGAAGGGCCGCAGCTCTGCAGTTTTGCTCCAACCCTATTCTAACACAGCTGATTCAGCTAATCGAGGTGTTCAAGAGAAGTCCTAAACACCTTGATTAGTTGGATCAGGTGTGTTTGAATAGGTTAGAGCAGGGGTCACCAATCCTGGTCCTGGAGGGCCGGTGTCCCTGCAGGGTTTAGCTCCAACTTGCCTCAACACACCTGCCTGGATGTTTCAAGTATACCTGGTAAGAGCTTGATTAGCTTGTTCATGTGTGTTTGATTAGGGTTGGAGCTAAAATCTGCAGGACACCGGCCCTCCAGGAACAAGTTTGGTGACCACTGGGTTAGAGTGTCGACGTGTAACCTAAAGAGGGCCTAATATACATAACATATACATTAATTTTCCTTCAGCGTAGTCCCTTATTTATCAGGGGGTCGGCATAGCGGAATGAACCGCCAACTATTATAGCATATGTTTTACGAAGCCGATGCCCTGCCAGCCACAACCCAGTACTGGGAAACACCCATACACTCTCACATTCACACACACACCAATTTAGATCATCCAATTTACCTATAGCACATGTATTGGACTTTGGGAGAAACCAGAGCACCCGGAGAAAACCCACACGAACACGGGGAGAACATGCAAACTCCACACAGAAATGCCAACTGGTTTAGCCGGGACTCGAATTAGTGACCTTGTTGCTGTGATGCGACAGTGCTAACCACTGAGCCACAATGCCGCCTGTTATACTCTTAAAAGTATGTACTTTTCCTTTACAAAGAAAGTACATACTTACTTTTAGGGCGTAATATAAGTATGCGAATTGATCTTTTTTTCTGGGTACCTGCTATTTGCATTGCAGGTCCCGTAGAAGCAAGTTTTCATCCTTGTTCATGTTAATCGCAGATCTTACTCTACTACACTTGGTTTGTCAGACTGTTTTGTTTGTCGGACATAATGGCGGACAGTGGTGCAGGCACTGATTGATTGATTGATTGATTGATTGATTGATTGATTGATTGATTGATTGATTGATTGATTGATTGATTGATTGATTGATTGATTGATTGATTGATTGATTGGCAATATTGCATGTCAATCAAACTCCAGCAAGAGGGTCAATTCAAAAGTGTAAATTAGATGAAAACACCCATATATCGCAACCTACAGGCAACCCTTAATAAACAGATATTTTTAAAGTTTGCACTTACAAATCATCGAGAGAGAATGTGAGAAAAATGTGATTTCTCCATATGTAGCACTCGTGGCCCTGTCTCAAATGGCACACTTGACGTGGCCTTTGATTATGCAATCATAATCGTAGTGTGTTTGTTAAGTCCACAGTACAGTAGGGCGTCCTATTTGTCATTTTACAGTTCAAAAGAGTGTTCAACAGCGCCTCTGTATGTGGGCTCAATGTGCCCTTTTGCAAAGCCTACACTGGTTAGCCCACATGCAGTCTATCACCCAACAATCCATACCCCATTCCTTCAACAAACAGTGGATACCAAAAATAGTAGCCATTTGGGACAGGACCTGTGAAAGAACTGTGATGTCACCTTAACAAAATACATTATGCCCAGTTATTGCATCCTGTTACAAAAAAACAATCTTGCGTAATACAGAAGAAGTCGACACAGCGAGTCCAGGGACACTTTAAAAATACCAGTATGTTATATTAGAGCTCAGATGGAGACGGGACACACGATGATTCGATCCTCCAGCATGACACTGAGCACCAGGAACACAAAGTAGAGGATGAACATGGTGAAGCCCAGCACTTTGTTCATCCTCCATTTACAGGCAGCGATGGAAATAATGACGAAGAGGAGCATGAGGAAGAGCAGCACGATGGCACAGAACAGACCATTACTGCTCACGGGCACCGGGGCAAAGGAATGGAAGAACGAGAACATCAGCCAGGGCACCGGCAGCCTGTGACAATGACACAATGCAACTGGTCAGAAACGGGAGAGTAAAGTTTTAGCTATCAGGTGTGTCCCAATTCACACACTACTCTACTCATATCTACTCATATGCCATTTAGGAGTACATATGCCCTCAAAAATGACTTTTGCTACTTCTTTTAAATTTAAAGCTTTATTGCAAAATTTATCAAATTAATTTATTTCCTCAAATACCAATACCCCATAATGACAATGTAAACAAAGATTTTTGGAAATTTTTGCTAATTTATTAAAAATAAAAAAGCTGTAAAATTACATCTACCGAAGCATTCACAGCCTTTGCTCAATACTTTGTTGATGCTCCTTTAGCAGCAATTACAGCCTTAAGTCTTTTTGAATATGATGCCACAAGCTTGGCACACCTATCTTTGGGAATTTTTGCCCTTTCCTCTTTGCAGTACCTCTCAAGCTCTATCAGGCTGGATAGGAAGTAACGGTGTTAAGCAATTTTCAGATCTCTCCAGAGAATCTGCCTTTTGACAAATTCCAGGCAGGCAGTGTCTTTCGTCTGGCCACTCTACCATACAGGCCTGATTGGTGGATTGCTGCACAGATGGTTGTCCTTCTGTAAGGCTCTCCACAGAAGAATGCTGGAGTTTAGACAGAGTGACCATCGGGTTATTGATCACCTCCCTGACTTAGGCCCTTCTCCCCCAATCACTCAGCTTAGATGGCCGGCCAGCTCTGGGAAGAGTCCTGATGGTTCCAATCATCTTCCACTTACAGATGATGGAGGCCACTGTGCTCATTGGAAATTTCAGTGCAGCAGAAATGTTTCTGTAACCTTCCCCAGCCTTTTGCCTCTCCTGTCTCTGAGGTCTATAGACAATTCCTTTGTCTTCATGCTTGGTTTGTAATTTGACATGCACTGTCAACCCTGGGACCTTATATAGACAGGTGTATGCCTTTCAAATCATGTCCAATTAACGGAATTAACCACAAGTGAACTCCAATTAAGCTGCTGAAACATGTCAAGAATGATCAGTGGAAACAGAATGTACCTGAGCTCAATTTAAAGCTTCACGGCAAAGGCTGTCAATATTTCTGTAGATGTGATTTTTAAGCTTTTATATTTTTAATAAATTTGCAACATTTTCAAAAAATCTATTTTCACGTTGTCATTATGGGGTTTTGTGTGTACGTTTTTGAGGAAATAAATGAAGTTAATCCATTTTGAAATAAGACTGTGACTTAAAAAATGTGTGAAAAGTGAAGCGCTACGAATACTTTCCAATACTTTTCATCCAAGAACGACGTGAAATGATGCTAATACAGTGCATCCAGCACTGTATCAACATAATTTCACGTCGTTATTGGTCGTCAAAATACCATTGTTCTTAGATGCAGGCAAACTAAATCTAACCTAATATTAACATCATAATGTTGTGTGCCTGCTGGGAAAACAATTCTTACTTTTTTTTTTTTTGCGGGGGGACAACTTAAGAATTGTTGTGTCAACTCATTTTAAATAATTAGATTGAACAAGCTGCAAAAGTCATCTTTTTGAACGTAGTGTTGTTCACACTGAAAAATTTTAAAAGAAATAAGTGCACTTTAAATACCCAGACTATGCACTTATTCAACTGTTCAAAATAAGTGTGGGATGATGAACACTTCATTTAAATGAGCTGAAACAAGACAACTATTGATTTTTTTGGGACAACTTAACTGTTTTATGTTCAATTCACTTAAACTTGTTAAGTTAACTTAATCGATTTATGTTGGGACAACATAAATGAACTGTGTGTAATCCAGCATTTTTACAGTGCACATAACCAAAGGATTTGGGTTGGATTTCGTTAAATATCTTGAATTAAACGAAAATCTTCCATATAAGTGATTATCAAAGAAACTCTCAGATTTTATCTGAATTATCTTTATCTGTGTTAAAAGGACGAATAAAGATCTCAGCGGATTAGAATGACATGAGGGTGAGGAATTAATCACACAATTAAAACATTTTTTTTGAACTAACACTTTAACAGCTTTGCATCAGGAGGATACAGAAACTCAGTACTCAGTACCACCAGGGCCAGTTTACCAACAACTAAAATGGATCCCTG